ATAGTTATTATATAAATAATAAACATAGACTTGTTGATTTATATAAGCAATAACTTAAAACTACTGAATTCCTCTGCTTTGGTATCTAAAGTGGATAAAATATACTTATAACATTATCTTAATTCTTTAGGTTTTCTTTCATTGTTCCCCGGTGCTCTGAGTGAGCTTAAAAGAGGGCAGTGGAGGAGAATTTAACATCACATGTGTAGTGCATGTCATGGCCCAATCTCCCTATTCCATCCATAGGGAAGATCTGTGCCCCAGCAGTGGGGACATTAATAGGCTGACGACGAATGAAAGAAAAAATCTTATTGCATCCCTACATGGTAGTCATAGTAGGTAATATTGTAAAGGGCTCAGCATTGCTTGTAGGAAGTAAGTTCTGGAACGACTGATCGTATTTCGAAAACACTTTCACCAGTATCATAGGCGATGAGGAGGTTACTAAACACCTTGAGCCTCTTCAATTACGCCGTGACGTGGCGTCACTAAGCGCGTTCTATCGTCTGTACCACGGCGAGTGTTCTGAGGAGTTATTCTCTCTTATTCCACCTTCCCCTTTCCTTCAGAGGACCACGCGCACTGGCCTACGTTGTCACCGTCTACCTGTGGCCACAATTCCAACGCGTACAAAGAAATTAGGTGACTCATTTCTTTGTCGCACTATCCGTAAATGGAATGCTCTGCCCGCTCACGTGTTCCCTCCCTCTTACAACCTGAGATCCTTTAAAAGAGGCGTGGAGAAGCAACATGTAGGCCGGCAGGGTGAGGATGGCTGGTGTGGCAGGTAGAACTGCTGTATCAGCTATCTTCACATCTGGACTTCACCTTCACTTAACATCAGGTGGGGGGAGTCATTTGTCGGACCTATCTACAAAAAAAAAAGTAGTAAGCTTTATGTCTCCATTTTGGCTTTTACAATACAATACAATCCCATAAAAAAAACTTTATTGTACACCACAGAAAACATTACAATAAATACAGAATCATTTAAATCAAGTGTTACAATGGGCGGCCTTATCGCTAAAAGCGATCTCTTCCAGACAACCTTTGAAATAAAGCTTTTATTGCGTTAAAATAAATTTTATTAGTGCAAGCAGGAGACTTTCTTGTAATATTAAAATAAAGGACACCCGGCATTTTGTGCCAAAGTTGTGTACTTTTTTAATTTTTTTATTTGTGTTTCATAATTTGGGTAACGTGGTCTGGCAATATTTGTCATCAGCAGCTAGCTGTCAATAAGGTTTGTCAATATAACCTCTATATAGTAGTAGCCGGGTCGTCAAGAGAAATAACGAATAAAATAGCAATCACAGCAGAGAACATTCACAATCACAGTACGCGGGAGCGGATGCGAAATGCGAATGATTTTTTTGTTTGTATTTTAGGATTGTCAAATTAACATTTGGTTTTTCATTTAGAAAAAGCAAAGGAATCATGATTTTTACAGTCACTTCAGTAATATTTTGAAGTAAAATTCTGTCCCTTGAAGATTTAGGGTTTCCATATCAAAAAATATTAATCATTTTATAACTTCTTTCCACGATTCACTAAAAATAAGGCAAAAGTAGTTTTATGTAGCAAATAATTTTGGCTTTATTTTGAGACCAAATTCAACTGTATACAAGTTTAGCATTTTTTCTATGAATAGTGCCGGGTCTCCTTTCCCGCCGCTATGTCGGTCTGTCTGTATATTCGCGATGATAGAAAACAACAATTCACAGATTTTCTTGTGGTTTTCACTATTAGATGGATCATTTTTCTTTGAAAGTTTATACATATTTGTAACACGTTTCCGAGAACAAAATATTAGTTTACGGGTCACTGGCACGTAATAAGTATAGACGGTAGGGCATTGTGGGTTTTCCATTCGGATTGGATTGTATGTCTGAGAAAGTCACCTCTTCCTTATAAAAGACTAAAGTGAAATAACACTTATTTTTGTTTAAATCTAAAGATAAGTTTACTAGAAAAAAAAATCCAAGCGGCGAATAGGGCCGTGGTAGCATAATGGTCAGTGCATTCGCCCGGATTGCGAAGGGTGCGGGTTCGAGTCCCGTCCGCTGCCTGGTCCGCGTGGATTTTTTTTCTAGTAAACTTTTCTTTAGATTTAAACATCTAGCAGTTAAATGCTTAAAAATAAATAAAATCATAACTATAATTGCTATTTCTTCTTTCAAATGTTTAATACTTGAAAAAGTATTCATTTGACATTGTGGGTTACCTACAATGCGAAGAGATGGCGCTGCCTTGCAGCTTAAGGCTAGGAAAATTTCGACGCGGCGAATAGGGCCGTGGTAGCATAATGGTCAGTGCATTCGCCCGAAATGCGAAGGGTGCGGGTTCGAGCCCCGTCCGCTGCCTGGTCCGCGTGGTTTTTTTTTCTAGTAAACTTTTCTTTAGATTTAAACATCTAGCAGTTACCTAAATGCTTAAAAATAAATAAAATCATAACTTATTTTTGTGTTTCTCTTGATGATGTAACGTGCAAAGAATACTGATTTCGCGAACAGCAAAGTATAAGCTGTGGTGACCATTTGCCACTATGCAGGCGTCCTCTGGTTTGTCTCTCTTTTAACATAAAATATTATAGAATATTTTCATTGTAAGCATTTAACAGTTAAAGGTTGAGGAGCTCGATGGCGCAAGTGGTTAGCGCGTTCGGCTGCGATCGTTGAAGTCAAGCAACTTTCGCAGTGGTCGGTCATTGGATGGGTGACCAAAAATTTACTATCTCGAGCTCCTTCGTGCTTCGGAAGGCACGTTAAGCCGTTGGTGCATCTGCAGTCTGCACCTACCAAACCGCACTGGGCCCGCGTGGTGGGTCTTGGCCTAATCTTCCTATTCCATCCATAAGGTAGGCCTGTGCCCAAGCAGTGGGGACATTTATAGGCTGATGATGTGATGCGTGATGTGATTTAACGGTAAGATAGTGCAATCTTAAGACATTTTAATAGAAAAGGTTGCACTTGTCCGCCCGGATATCGGAAAATACTGGTTCGAATTCCGTTTGAAACCTGCTTCGAATTTGATTTTTTACTAGTAAAATGTTCTATCATCATCATCACCATCATCACCATCATCAGCCTATTAATGTCCCCACTGCTGGGGTACAGGCTTACCCTATGGATGGAATAGGGAGGTTGCGCCAAAACCCACCACGCGGGCCCAGTGCGTATTGGCGGGTGCTAACGACTGCAGAAGCAGCCAGGACCAACAGCTTAACGTGCCTTCCGACGCAAGGAGGAACTCGAGATAGAATATTTTTGGTCACCCATCCAATGACCGACCATTGCGAAAGTTGCTTAACTTCAACGATCGCAGCCGAACGCGCTAACCACCTGAACCGTCGAAGAATAAAGTTTACGTTTGAAATCGAAACATTGAACGTTGATTTATTTTTTATTTATTTTAACGCCTTCTGATAATAATCACTTGATCCAATAATAATGACCAACCATCGCAGTGTCCACCTGCTCCGTCTACCACTTGTTACAATATTTATTGTCGTTCGTCTGTCCTTGACTACATTTTTTATGTGAACGGCCTCGCTCGCAGTGATGACCGAATCGAGAATGTCCGACGACGAAATCAGACCGATTTCGGCGCCTTTGGTTTAATACCCTTTTTTTACTGCGCTTAAAATTGTACGAACAGCAGCACCTTGGGTTTGAGCTGACCATGAAAACTCAAAATTAAGTTTTATGTTTTGAAACTTTGGATCAAAATGCGAAGGTTGAAATTACATTGGAGACTTTTAACCAATTTTGAGATGTCCAAGGCAGTTCATATACCTACAGACATACACATCAAGCTTCACGTAGGTGATCCAGTTTATATTCAAGCAGTTTGCATATTTTATCTAAATAATAAGAACACAACAATTATTTAGTTCAATTAGTCCAGGAAATGAAGTTCAAACAATGGCGAAATCTCGCAAATTTTATGTACTGCATCAATTTGCATAAAAAATTGGAATTTGGCTCATCTTACTCTCTACTTCAAAATATATTATATATCATGCCGATGGGCGCAATACCACTCTTAGTTGACATTTTTTTTAAAACTTATGAAAAAATTGTTTTGCATTAGATGAATAATGATTCTTTTATGCTTTGAAATAGTAATGAAAGAAAGAAGTTCCGTAGTTGCCTGTACTTACCACAATATATTTGGACAGAAGTCTTTATTTTCTGTATAGGAAATTCGAAAAACTAATTAATATAAATCTATGAGAATCTCAACTAAAATACCTAAATCGAAATCAAACTGCGTCTCAAAGTCATAATCAAGCGGGAAAGCGCGTGTCCTCATGGATACAGCCGGCTGCAAGGTTAGTTTAGACACTTACTGACTAAAACATACCCGTAGTTCATGCTTACGGCCAGAAGGGCCTTTCATATGAAATGAAGCGACCATCAGGGGATGATGCGGTATGCCGATCTTTTCAAGTGCTTATATACTCCTTATAAAAACCGGCCAAGTGCGTGTCTTGCCACGCGCAGTGTAGGGTTCCGTAGTTTTTATTTTTATTTTGGAAAGAGTCTATATTTTAAGTAATTACTAGGCCTAAGTCACTTTTAATATTTTCTTCTGATATTTTCTAATGCATGAGTTCAACTACTATTACTCTTAAACTAACAAATCTATTTATCCCCCGTGACCCCCCCCCCCCCAAATAATCAAATTTTGATCTAATTAAATAGACTCCATATAGTATCTGAAATCTTCGGCGTTAATTTAATCGTGGTATAAATACATCTAAGCGGTACGTAGTGACAACCTAGGTTCATGAATTTAACCTAATCTTTACTTCCCTCGTATTGTTTTATTTATTACACCTGGCCACCCAGAACACTGTTTTTTTTATATTGCTTATGTAAAAACCATGGACATAGATTTTCGCGAAAAAATATAACCTTCGATAGATTAGACACAAAAAGTTTTTACAAACTACAAACTTGCAATTTTCTAACACAATTTAATACTCTTTGGATTATGTCAAAGACAGGTTATATTTTAGATTTTGGTTGGTCTGTTCGTATTATTATTACCTTTGAAATAAAGCGTCTTAAAATATTGGGCAATATCCTACAAATTATAAAACAGCACAACAGCAAGTATGCATACATAATACATATCCATAAAACTTGATATAAGTTCTAATAATATCTGTTAAGTCCTATCTATTTTATATTTTTGAAACAAACATTAGTAGCAAGGTATTTTATTTTTACCAACAACTCAAATTACATTAAAGGCATGGCGTATTTTTGACGTGACAACGTCTTAAATTAGGTTGCGGCTGGGAGTCACTTATGAAAAAGTGTAACGCTCGGTAACGTTACGATGAGTCTCTCGTGTTAAGTTTAAGTTTACATGTACAATGTTTTAGTAAACAAAATATATTTCTATAGTTAAAATTTGTGCAATTCTTATTTTCATTCAATTCCTTGTTCCTATTGTGCAATTTAATTATATTCATATCAATAAATATTCTACCGAGAAAAAGACGTTGTCACGTAAAATCTTCGCCCGTAAAACCGACTTTACAGGCAACCATTTTTTTAATACTAATTACGAAATACAACAAAATTTTAGAATACATCTCTTCCTAAGAATAAGCAGTAAATATGTCGAAGAAAGGAACATCTGACGGTGGTAGAACCCTGATAGTTTTAGAAGTGGACCCAATGGAATGTCCGTTCAGAGAATTCCGGGACAACGAACTTCATCCCGAATTTTGGGGAATGGTAAGCATTGTTTTAATTATTAACTACTAGCTGTACTCAGAACAAATTCTTGAGTTAGATAAAAATTAATTCAAACTTAAGTCTAAAGAAAATAATTATATTATTGCTATTTCTTCTTTCAAATGTTTAATACTTGTAAAGGTATTCATTTGACATCGTAGGTTACTTACAATGCGAAGAGATGGCGCTGCCTTGCAGCTTAAGAAAGGCTAGAAAGATTTCGACACGGCCGTCAGGGCCATGGTAGCATAATGATTGGCATTTGCCCGGATAGCGAAGGGTTCGAGTCCCGTCTGCTGCCTGATCCCCATGGATTTTTTTCTAGTAATATTTTTTTAGATTTAAACATCGAGCAGTACATGCTTAAAAAAAATAAAATTATAACCAATACAAATTTCTTTGCTATTATAAAAGAATGAGGTGTTCTTTGCCACTCTTATAAGTATAGGCGTTAATTGTAAATCTCATTGTCTCCTGAAGGTGGCTTAAATAACATCGTGTTTCCCTAGTAATCGTTGTACACGTGTTATTATAGAATTTTCTGATGATTCTTGTTTGTGACCTATCAATATGTACCACACCGAATTTTACGTGTCTACGTTGATTCTGATAAGCTTGTTTGGATTCCGCAAACTAGCTACAAATATTCTGCTTGCTAGGTACTTCATTACCAAAAGTAGTTTGAAGGTGATACTCTGCTAAGAAGTCGTAAAATCGTTGTACTTAAATCATTATACGAATTTATTAGTAATTTGATTTTATTGGTAATGTAGACACGCCATTATTCAAAATGACACAAAAATATAAAAAAATTAAAAAAAATGTGTTTAAAAGCCAAAGAGATCCATTTTTAAAGAATTTGTTAATAATAAATTTCATCCCCATCATCTTGATGCGTGGCTATCCACAACCCTGCGTTTTTGTCGAAATTTTTTACCACGTACGACAAAACTGTGGAATATGTTGTCGCCAGCAGTGTTTCCGGACCGATACGACCCAAAAACCTTCAAAAAAAGAGTGTACTCCTTCCTTAAAGGCCGGCATCTCATTTGTGATACTCCTGGTGTTGCAAGTGTCCATGGGCGACGGTGGTCACTTACCATCAGGTGAGCCGTCTGCTCGTATGCCCCCTATAACATAAAAAAAAAGAGTATTTGTGTATACAGATAGTGCAATCCACGAAGATGCGCCCCACCAATTTTTGATTGAAGTATAATTAGTGATAAAAAGATAATTATCATATTATTATATTATTATCATAGATAATTAGTGTAATAATAACACTCAAATATTGGCGGAAGCTGGCACACATTTACAATAAACGGTTAGGAGGAATAGTGGGGCGCGTCTTCTTGGATTGCAATATCTTTACTAAGGAGGTGTAAATCAGTAGCTTACAAAGACCATCCATTTATTCGAAGGTAATGGGTCAATCCTGATTAATTATAGCAATATTTCGGATAGCTTACAAAATGTTTCAATCTAATCTAAGCACAGACTGGCTTATGAATATATTCAATGTTTAATAAAGGTGCCCTGCTGTGGGTTTTCCCGCATTAATTTGAGGAAAAAGGTTATAATATATAACATTTAGACACTTTTAGTAAAAAAAAAAATATAAAAGTTATTTTTTTTGCGGAAATAAAACCTAAATCGTTGTTTGAATCAACTAGTAAAGTTTCTCTCGTAACTCAATTTTCGCAATATATAGAAAGATAGAACACAAATATCATCCAGCGATGGGGGTAAAGTTGCCAGATGCTGGCTTATCAATTTTTTCAGGGGGGGTGCAAATGTCCCGGACATTTGCACCCCCCCTGAAAAAATAAAACATCAAATCAAACCCTCCATCACCCCACTAAATAAAAACATCAAGAAGGCCAGCGGTGTTATTCGTTATTAGTTTATTCTGTTACGAAACTAGCACATTATCGGAATCCGGGACAATAAGGTCTAATTACTGGGCAAGGGACAAGACGCAAAATTCCGAGACAATCGCTTATTTCCCGGCCATCTGGTATCCCTCGATGAGGGGTATATTAAAAATATTGTAAGGACTAGCATACTGAGAGATAATGATTTCAAGGGTCCAGCGGCGTTTCGCACTGCCTTCATCAACAGCAAGGCAGGCTTCAAGCCCCAGGCTGAGCACATCTGGCTGGATGACCAGACTCAGCCTCTTCCGAGGTCAGTCCGGCAGTACTTGAACGGCTGGGTGAGGGCAGAAGAGCTGGCCATGAGCAGGTGGGATGCAGAAACTGCTGTTTTTGAGGTAATCATGTTAAATAATGAGACAGTTCAAATTAATTCAGTTTTATTTAAAAGTAACACAGGGCTACAATAACTCCTCGAAAATGTAGTAGAACAAACGTATCAATAGCATCCTTAAAATATATATATTATTGAAAATAAACAATCTTTTTTGGCTTGGAAAATAACAAATCGAAAATGTAATTTTTATTGGGCGGGATAATACATTGGTATACATTTTATTGTCGTAATTATATCAACAATGATAACAGTTGGCTGATTATACATTTTTAGTTAAACATATATAAGTACTTAAAATATGTTCTCATCTGTTCATTCAAATTACAAAGCTGTTAAAAAAATGATAATGAAATTGTATAATTCAGTCACACAGGAAATAAAAACGCAATAATTAGAAAAAAAAACATCCAATGCGTCAGCATATTAGCGATAACTACCAGACGCAATAAATGTTATTTATAGATCAAAAAATAAGGCCACAGACAAATTTATTGATAATCTATCTTCGGGTCTCGATCAAATTCGCAAACATCTTATTAGCCGAGATGTCTGAAGGTTACATAGAATATACTCGTATGATCGAATGAGACAGATATTGCTCGTCGAGTTTCATAGGCGCGAGTAATACTATTGTTGAATTATTCATGGCGATTGACGTTCATTCCTATCGACTTGCCTTGGACTGGTGTTATGATAATAGTTTAGGGAGACGTCTAACACATTTCTCTTGTTACAGGAGAATGATGGAGGCAAGATGTCTGTAATTGATATCCAGCTGAGTCACGCGCAGGTCATCCTTCGTTCGTCGTTTTGCAGAAAAGTTTTATCTGCATGTTTTCTTTTGGAGAGAGCTGACACGTTTGTGGTAAATCATAATTGCTGTTCGTGTGCTGAACTTTTTGTCGACGTCATCATGTCAGCCGTACGATGCCCACTGCGGAGCTTAGGCCTCCCCCAAGGATCTCCACACCGATCGGTCCTGCGCATCCATCGGCTTACCACGACCTTCACAAGGCCTTTTTTTTGAATGCGCAGGTAAAAAATGCTATTTACAGACGACGGCGCCTTTAAGAGGCACACCGCCGAACTGACCTCACACCTGGCTCCCGCAAGTCTTACGGGCCCCCCAGTGGCTGTCCACCGAGGACCCCGCAACTCTTACGGCATAATATCCTCTAAAAAAGTCCTGCGAATACCCTCTAAGCTGCTTAGCGCGAAGCCGCGGGATCCCCGTTTAGGGATTCTTCCGCGTCTCCGCACCTAGCAGCCTCCCGGCCTAGCCGGGGCTCCACGGCAGGGGTCTCCCGGGGTATCACGGGGACCCCGCAGACGTGCGCATGTAGGCCCGCGCGTGGGGGCTGAGTACGCGGCCTAATGCCCACCGTACCGCCCCCCGTCCACTGGGGAGGGCTACTTGGGAATGCCCGTGTAGCTCCCTCCGCCGCACCCCGTAGGGGACCTGCCCACTGAGCGCCGTCCGGTGCGTGGTCACCATTCTATAACCTTCCGCCCCAACGGGCGTCGGTTCTTCTTGCTACGTGTCCCGCCCACTGCCACTTCAGAAGAGCAATACATCGAGCGATATCGGTTAAGTTATTTCTCCTACGGATTTCCTTATTTTTGACTATCGCGTAGGGAAATACCGAGCATCGCTCTCTCCATTGCTCGCTCTGTGACCTTCAGCCTTCTTATGAGACCCGCAGTAAGGAATATTCCTTGCACCGGTCTCATAAGAAGGCTTTTGTATATACAAACAGGCTGACTTGCACCATAGTTCTCAAATTAAATTAAAAACAAAATCATGTTTGAGCCTAATCGAGATCCTAAAACAGTCATTCATGATTTCCCAGGCCCTAACCGGACATCTCACATCCTACTAATGCTAGACGTGGGCGAGGTATTTTATTTTCTGAGAGAAAAGCTTTGCGTTATATTAAATACAGAGGCATAGGACTTAATCATTTTATTTTCTACATTCATAGTGATTTAATTGACCGGAAGCTGTCTAATGCCGAGCTAACACGACAGATTAGGTACAAGGTTAATAAGCGTGGGAAATAGTCAAATGCATATAGTGTAACTTGATTTTGCTCATTTTTTTCTTCTCATTCAAGGAGGTTTCCTTTCAGCGAAAGGAAACCTCCTTTTTCACTTTTAAGTTGAAAAATATTTTGTGCTAGTTGCTTAAATGTAAGTATAAAACAGTCGGGATTTTCAAAATAAAAATCGATCGAACCTAATCTTATCTATCTATATTTTTTTCAAGGAACTAATTAGTAAGTAAGTTTCATCATCAGCCTTTTAATGTTGCCACTGCTGGGGCACTGGCCTTATCTGGGTGGGATAGGAAGATAAGGCCTTATCCTACCACACGGGCCCAGTGCGGACAAGTGGATGCTAACGACTGCAGAGATGCAGCCGTGATCACCGGTTTAGCGTGCTTTCTACAGCACGGAGGAGCTCGAGTTCTTAAGTATTTGGTCACCCATCCAATGACCGACCACTGCCAAAGTTAACTTCACGCTAATCACCTGCCCCATCAAGCTCCTATCAAGTAAGGATCAATTATAGGAAATTTCAAGAATTAGCCACCTTCATCGAGAAGGTTGTGGTTCCAGGTAGAGCACCAATGGGAGAACTTCTCCTTCAGCATGGCTCCTGAAGGTTGGAGGCCCAGGTACCACATTTACTCGCCTGGCGTGAAACCGGGAGGGGGGCAGCAGCATCGACCTGGACTCTCGAAAAACGGTTGGTTTTCTATCTGCGAGTTTATAAATGTTACTTCTTTATGTATCAACCTGGACTAAAGGGTTAGAACTCACAGAGCAATTTTTTACCGCAGCCGCCTCGGGCAAAGCTTGGTTATTCAAAACCCACGAGATCGCAGTTTTCTGCAGTCCCGTGATGGGTTGGGCAAAAATAAAAAGATATTAAATTGATATACTGAGATTTATTTCTATCTCGTTAGCATAGAAAAACAGTTGACACAAGAGAGTATTATACGACCGAATAGAATGACATATGACATACTCAACGCATAGACAGTGGCTCCAACTAGTGAGCTATTTAGATAACTATGACAATTTACATTGTTTGGTTTATGTTAGTTCTAACATCCCGCAGCCGCCGCCGCTGCAAAAACGCAAGTAAAGTTACCAAAGGAAGATCGGGTGAAGCCCGCCGTGGGTGCAGCAAACAATCGTGCACTCGGCGGGCGTAAACAACGCCGTGAAATTTGCAATTGCGTTTTACGTACAATAGGGGTGATGACGGGGTACAGTAAACGAAATTCTATTTAGTCCGTCAGTTAGATGATCAAAAATAATGGACAAGTATTTTTTCTTTGGGCAATCAACCAAAAATGACAAAGTTATAGCGCGTCAAAGTTTGGGCTCATGACGTCACTTTTTAGTGAATTTTCACTTAAAAGTGGACCAAAACGTGACGTCATGTGACTTTTCAAGTCAATATATCTCTGCAATGTTTATATTATGTGAAAAAAGAAAATAAAAAAAAAAATACGTGTTCAATACTTTTTGATAATCTACCTGATAAACGAAGAAAAAAAAATAGTCATCATCCCTATTTCAAGTTATACGCAAGTTGCGATTTCGCAGCCGCGGCGGGCGCGTGTCAAAATCGCTCAGTGAGTTCTCAGCCTTAATATTGCTTCTTTCTGTATCGACTTTGACTTGGACTCTCGTAAAATAGTTAGTTGCTTATCCACAATTAATAATGTTGCTTCCTTCTATATATATGAAGTAACTGGGGTCCTTTAAGAGAGGCGTGAAGAAGCATTTTTGCAGGCCGGCAAGGTGAGGATGGTTGGTGTTGCAGTTTATAACTGCTTTACCAGCTATCTTCGCATTTGGACTTTATCACCACTTAAAATGAGGTGGGGCAAAGTCATTTGCCTATCTGGCTATATATATAAAAAAACTGAACTAACTAGATCGAGTACGATGCAGTGTGCGTTCGAGTGGGTTCTCTGGACTTAGGTGACGCTGTCTCAAGATTTTTTTTTATCGGCAGCACAACGTCTGTCGGGTCTGTTTGTCCTCTTGTATATTATAAAAAATTCAGATTTTATGTTGCGTTTAGCGTTTATAAAAAAGTCTTATCGGCCAAACACAGACGTAATTAATTTATAATTGCTTGTTTATATTTACATAATATTACACAACACTTCTGTTTGATTATTAACTTTTATGATTTTCATTTATCGTTACTCTATTTGTATCATCATCAGCCTATTAATGTCCCCACTGCTGGGGCACAGGCCTTCCCTATGGATGGAATAGGGAGTTTGGGCTATATCGTTCTAAATTAAGAATATACACACTGAAATACACACATTAATTATTTAATTCAAAACTCTATCAAAATAAATTTACGTATTCATGTAATAATTTACAAATGAAATGAGGTTTCTCGTTTGGTGTATTAATTACTCGTATGGTTCTGTTTAAATTGGGTTTTCAGTACTTTTATAAACACACTTTACTGGAAAGGTAATAATTTTGATTCGTAAGGTTTCATAATTATTATAGCTTCTAGTAACTTGTAATTGAATACGTTTTGCAAGCCTCCACCCGATTCATAACCAAATTAATTTCGAAATGGTTTAATTACATCACTATTTATTTATTTAGGCATGCTAACAGTCACACATATTCATACATTAAGGATTGAATAGGATACTATACAATTTTCTTAAATGCAGAACAATTATAAGCATACACAACATTCACAATAAAGTTAATAAACAACTCGATAAATTTAAATTGACCTGTACCCTAAGCACGAACCAATATCGAATTCGTAACGTTTGTGAGTCCGAAATGTCATTGTCAAATGTGTACTGATTTTTAGTTCCCGTAACGTACTTTGTGGCGCTGCTGTTCAAGTTTCCATACAAAATTTGACATTGACATTTCGCACTCGCAAACTATTCGAATTCGATAATGGTTCGTGCTAGGGGTACTGATACCAAATCTCATATATATATATTTACTACATAGGATTTTAAAATAAATAGGATATGACTAGGGAGCTGGTGGCAATTTAGGTATATGATTTCCATAGTATAGTCGTTGAAACCAAGACGTAATGTAGTCTGCACCTATGTTAACTAGATTTAATAAGTGGCGAGCTGAGGTAACTCTGATTTTTATTTCAAAATAATTTCGAAATTGTAAAGACAAAACGATATCAAAAATTATATTATAGTTTTTATCATTAATTATATATTTTAAATACATTTAAAGATCATCAATCATCATCATCAACAGCCTATCTTAGTCCAATGCTGGACATAGGCCTCTCCAAATGCATCCCGCTCAGATCGATCTTGGGCTACTCGAATCCAGCTCCTGCCAGCCACCTTGCGCAAATCGTCACTCCATCGCGCCTGAGGACGTCCTACACCACGTTTGCCTAGACGCGGTCTCCACTCCAGAACTCGTCTACCCCTTCGGTTATCGATTCTTTGACAGATATGGCCATCCCACTGCCACTTCAACTTGCCAATCCGGTGGGCTATGTCGATAACTCTGGTTCTCTGTCGGATTACTTTTCTGGTGCGATCTTTCAAAGAAACGCCGAGCATAGCCCTTTCCATAGCGCGCTGAGCGTCTTTGAACCTGTGGACCAGCCGCACCGACAGTGTCCACGTCTCGGCTCCGTATGTTATCACAAGTAGGACGCACTGATTGAAGACTTTCGTTTTTAGGCACTGTGGGATCGACGATGTCAGGACTTGACGTAACTTCCCAAACGCTGTCCAACCCAGCTGAATTCTTCTACTCACTTCGTCCTTAAAGTTTTTTCTCCCTAACTGCAATATCTGCTCGAGGTACACATATTTTTGAACAACTTCGAGAACGATATTCGATATTTTTTCAAGATTTGCTCAGTATTCATATTTTCTTTGCCACATGAATCGATGGTTGAAATCATGCGAAGAGGTCAAACGGACTAGGTTGCTACTTAATAGTCCGCCTGTTTCACCTGGGCGCTTTGAGATGTGTGTGGGTAAATGACCAGGTTCCAGTAGATGCCACTGTCTCCCCACTCTTGCCTTTCTCTTCACTCATGAGCAACATATCAGCAACTATTTATTTATCAACTAAACCTATGCTTGACATCACAAAAAAAGTAATAGGTTATCCAGTTTTTAATGTGATCAGAATTTTACTGTCTACGATTCGACCAGATCGCTACGTAATTTGCCCTTTTCCACTTAGGCTCCTGGAGGTGCGTTTGCGTGAACGATCAGGTGACACCAGATACTACCTACCTACTACTCACTTTCGCCATTCTTTCCACTTATGAGCACTAGCGATCATTTCTTCGTCATGTAAATCTATGCTTGAATTTTATAGGCAATCAATAGAAGCTCCATGGTTAAAATATCCAGATATTTTTTTCTACCAGGTTGCTACCTAGTTCGCCTCTACCTTTAATTTTTTTTAGCGTCTACGCTTGGAGATGCGTGTGGGTGAACGACCAGGTTTCAGTAGATGCCAATGACTCCCCACTAAACGTATGCTTGAAATCACAAAAAAGTAATGGTTTCTCCAGTGTTAAATGTGATCAGGATTTTACCGTCTACGATTCGTACAGGTCGCTACTTAGTCCGCCTTTTCCACTTAGGCTTCTGGAGGTGAGTTTGCGTGAAAGATCAGGTGCCACCAGATACTACCCACTTTCACCGTTTATTCCACTTATGTGCTAGCGATCATTTATTCGTCATATAAATCTATTATGGAATTTTATAGGTAACCAATAAAAGCTCTATGGTTAAAACATCCAGATATTTTTTTCTTCCAGGTTGCTACCTAGTTCGCCTCTACCACCTAGGCGCTTGGAGATGTGTGTGGGTAAACGACCAGGTTCCAGTAGATGCCAATGACTCCCCACTCTTGCCGTTCTCTCCGCTCATGACCAACACACCAGCGACTACCGTGGCAGTCGTACCCTCGAAGTCCAGCGCTAAGACTACCGTAGTCACAGCTATTACCTCGCCTGTGGTTCATCTGTGGCCCTTGTTGATCTGCAAGGTAATTGTTTTAAACTTTTATGTTCACTGACATTACAGCTATTAATGGGATTGTTACCATGTACCTTTGTTTTTTATGAGTCTCCGACATTTCGGCACTGTTGAGATCCGTGATCGGATCAGAAGTATCAGAGAACATGAAGTAACTCCGTGATCATGGCGCTTGCAACAGTGCCGAAATATCGGAGACTCATAAAAAACAAGCGATGATCACGAAGTTACTCCGTGTTACTCCAATCAGGAAGTAACTCCGTGATCATGGCGATTGCAACAGTGCCGAAATATCGGAGACTCGTAATAAACTAGGTACATAGTAACAATCCTGTTATTAGTTTTAATGCAAGGTAATTATATCGGGACGATAAAATTGTATCATAAAGCTTATTTATTATTAATCATTGAAACGAGAAAAATATTCGCAACATTTGAATTCAATCTTTCATTGTTTAAATGTTTAAATAGCTCGATTTTTTTTGTAAGAGATTTCTCGTTCGCCTAATTGTTAAGCTCTGCTTAACCTACCTTTTTATTGTTTATGTTACAACAACTTTGAACGGAAGCATAAAGTTAACTGGTAGACCTACCTACAAAATATTTCATGTTTATTATTCTAACTGGCTGCATTTCGAAAATCACCAATTACCTAGCTAATATAATATCTCCTTTCCGCAGTCATCTGGAATCATGAAGGCATTTCTTGCCAATGATTTTCTAACGAACGGAAAGCCACAAACAACGCCACAACACCCAATTACCGTCGACTCCACAATAATAACGATGTAAATCTTCAATTTATTTGCTAACCAACAGTATTATTAGAAGGTATTGCAGGCGAGACTACTGAAAATTATATCTGCGGTCCCATTCCATTGTCGCTTAGAATAATACAATTCTATGAACTCCCGTTTGAAATGAAATGCAGTGACTGAATGGCATATAAATACTATACTTTGTTGATTTTATATCTAGTGTTCTCTGTAAATTTTCTAAAATACAAATTTGTTTATAAATACACGGAACAGCAAATAAACCAGGTCCCTTGTTACCTCGGAACTTTGCTTTGTTTTTTTTTTTATATAAAACTTACAACTATCAAAGTTGTACGCACAGAAATGCGTTTCGTGATGATTATAATGAACAGAAATTTATTGAGATTAATCAATTTATCAAGTTTATATTAAAAAAAAATCCAAGAAGAGTAATTTCCTAATTGTGTCAATCGGTAATAAAAACATACGTAGCAAAAATGTACACAATTACGCATCTGAGAAAACTATGGACAAAAACTAAAAAAAAAAAACAGTGCGTGTCGTGCCATGCGCAGTGTAAGGTTCCGTAGCTGCATTTAATTACCACAATATATGTGAGCAGGAGTCTTTATTTTCTATATCGGAAATTAGAAAAACCAATTAATTACAATATATGTATCTCAACTAAAAAACTTAAATCAAAAGCAAACTGCGTAAATCAATTCGATATTATTATTATTTTAAATACGAATGATAAACGCCGTTTTTTTGTTTCCTCCCAGGCGAGGGAGCGGGTGTGAAATCCTCATGTATACCCTACAGCCGGCTGGAAGGTTATGTCAAGTTATGGCCAGAAGGGGATAATGCGTTATAACCGCCGATCTTTTCAAGTGCTTATATACTTTTTTTTAAAAACCTTTTTTAGTTTCTTTTTTATTTTATTACAATGCAAGGTTTTACGCTACAATAACTTCATCTTTGTCAGTATTAATGTTATCTTCTATGGAATTTTCAATAGGTAAGAAATTTTCTTTAACAGAAGTTTCTGTTAAAAGTTGAATGACTATTACTCTTCAACTAATAAATCTATCATTACCGTTATAGTTTTCCTCCAAAGTTCATGAAAAGCAATTTTGGTTGGTTTTTCAAGCCAACAGTTTAGCTTTTAGAATTAGAACGCTCTACTCGAGCAAAAATTAGCACTTTTAAGTTTAATATTTCGCAAATGGATCCCTAAATCGAAAAATAGTCTTTGGTTGATATAGATATATATATTCCCAGGTTACATGTAGGGGAGCTACCCTAAAAAAATATTTTTCAAAATTTTACGGGTTCCTTGTCAGGACTACGGAATCCTAAAAAACGATTAAAAAAAGTATCGGACTTTCCTCATTCTATAAAATAAAAAAAGATAATCGCAACTTTATTCAAAAAATGTTAATTCGTTAGCATTGTGTTTCTAGGTTGATAAAAAATTAGATGACATTAGTGTCGAGTCTGGTATGATTATCTAAACTTAAAAATAAAATATTTAACATCTGTCTCTCCTTTTCATTATCTATATAAAATGACAGGAATACACTGTTGTCAAATTTAAGTTTGCCAGAATCGACACCATTGGGTAGGTACTTTACAATAAATTTTTACTCATGTTAATCCTTATGGAACGCACTGTTAGAAGATTATATAGCATTGATAGTTGTGTTTTTTAATATTTTTTTAGAAGAACGAATCAGAGTTCCAATAGAGAACTAGTGGCTTGGCCGGTATAAATGCCACTTGACTAAAAATGTTAATAAATATATGAGCTATAATTTTTCAAAAGAAAACTCGTCTTTGATTAAACTCGTCACTAAAACGCCTAGTCAAAATAAATAGCAAATACGCGTAAACTCTGAGTTTTGATTGCTAATAAAAATTTATCAGGCACTGCTCAAGTTGGCTGCGCCTGACATGAATTCTGATGAGCAGCAGGGCTCTGTGGAGGACGAACTTATGCCAGAGTTCAATATAATGCACAGCCTAACGGGATCAGTGAGCTTGACCTACCAAATTTATGGTAAGTTTATTAACTGTCCATCACAATTACTTTCTTAAATCATAGTCGAAAATATTATGGGAGGTGACTACAGACTTTGGTACCTACCTACTTAAGAAATTGTCGGTTGAAATTAGATGTAAAGTTACATGTTATTAGTTATGGTGACTAAAAAGTTGTTTTATGTGAGGCTTCGATATTTCAGATCATGGAGTAACTGAGTCAGTTACTTTGTGATACAACTAGGGTTTCCACCCGTATTTTGTTATAAAGAATTGTACGTTATTTCGGGTAATTGTACTCTATACTTTATGCCAACAATAAAGTACGCGAAAATACTTTATTTAATGTGATTTGATTACTTGGGGATTCATTTTAGATAAATATACAAAAAGAGGATAGGAAGAATTTTTGCGTAAAACGGAACAACAGTATGTATAATATGTCGCCCTTAGCTCATTCCTGCAAAATTTTCGAGGCTGTATGGCTTTGTACAATGGCCTTACCCATTGCGGATAAGAACTACAGATATTTAGTAGCCACAAATTATTTATTAAAACTTGCTTTAAGCAGCGTAAAATATATTTTTAAGCTTACCTACTAATAAAGTGGAATAAAAAGTACTTTATTTTGGACACAATGTACTTTTTCCTACCTTTAATAGACAATGTACTTTATTTGGGCGTAAAATAGGTGGCAACCCTAGATACAACTGACATGGTAACAATATGACTAATAACTATAAAGTAATTAATAGGAGCTCGATGGCGCAGGTGGTTAGCGCGTTCGGCTGCGATCATTAAAGTTAAGCAACTTTCGCAGTGGTCGGTCATAGGATGGGTGACCAAAAATCTTCTATCTCGAGTTCCTCCGTGCTTCGGAAGGCACGTTAAGCCGTCGGTCCCGGCTACATCTGCAGTCGTTAGCACCCGCCAATCCGCACTGGGCCCGTATGGTGGGTCATGGGCCGATCTCCCTATTCCATCCATAGGGAATGCCTGTGGGACCAGTGGGGACATTAATAGTCTGATGATGATGATTTAATAGGTGTGTTACTAAAATTTTATCACATCTATCTTTAATGTGTATCGCTAATTACAATCTTAATATTTCTGTTGTCGTATCTATGAAACTTGCAAAATTATTTATTTTGGAACCCTTCAATCAAGTATTGTTGATTAAAGTTGGTACCAGTCAGCTTATTTTCTATATTACCTTAATAAAGACCACACTCCCCGATCGGGGCGCGCTCGATAAATACCGCACGGTCGATCAGCGCACGCCCCGATCGGCGCGCGCTACCCACGGTACTATAAAGCCGTTTTTTGTGATAGTTAAAGCCTACTTTTGTGTTAAAAAGTTTAACCATAGATTAACTTGGCGAAATGACCTATATATAGAGCCGTAAAGTTTAAATAGCCCGCATGAATTTAAAGTTTAAAACCCCAAGCAGTGCTAACTTTGAAAATAAATAGCTTAGTTGTGTTTTATAAAAACTTGCCCAAATTCGTAAGTGAGATCTCAGACCGCATACTAAATAGAGATAGCAGAGAGTAGATTTGTTATTTGTTTATTCATTAATTATAATCAAACAACAAAATCTATCAACTATGATAGAGATACCTTAAAGTCTAACATGCATTTTTTTGTTTTTTTTTGTGATTATTTCGATTGCTCCATCTAGGCATGAAATGAAATAGTTAAGGATTCCACTTTTGATTTGCAAAATAAATGTTGCTGTGATGAGCATATTTTTTTATATAGCCAGGTAGGCAAATGACTCTACCCCACCTGATGTTAAGTGGTGATGAAGTCCAAACGCGAAGGTAGCTAGCTAGTACAGCAGTTATAAACTGCTACACCAACCACCCTCACCTTGCCGGCCTGCAAAAATGCTTCTTCACGCCTCTCTTAAAGGACTCCAGATTATAGGAAGGAGGGAACACGTGCGCGGGTAAAGAATTCCACTTACGAATAGTACGACAAAGAAATGAGTCACCAAATTTCTTTGTTCGTGTAGGAATAGTGGCCACAGTAAGTCGGTGGCAACGAAGGCCAGCACGCGTTGTCCTGTGAAGAAAAGGTGATGGAGGGATAAGGGAAAATAACTCCTCAGCATACAAATATCAACATTGTAATGTTACTAATAAACTTAATACTTATGTTAGTAAAACCTAACCTAAGTAAATTGGACCTAATATAATTGATGGACCATCAAAATAAGAAAGTTCATCCAGTCCAAAAATTTTATTTGCCTAATAGGGATGATGACTAATTTTTTTTTCTCCTATCAGAAGCAGAGATTATCAAAAACTATTGGTTACGTATTTTTGTACATTCACACAATCAGTACCCCTAACACGAACCATTATCGAATTCGAATAGTTTGCAATTTTGCAAACCGAAATGTCAATGTCAAATTTTGTATGGAAACTTGAACAGCAGCGCGGCACAAAGTAGGTACCGTAACGAGAACTAAAAATCGGTACACATTTGACAATGACATTTCGGACTCGCAAACGATACGAATTCGATATTGGTTCGTGCTGGGGGTACAGAACATAACAGAGACGAGTCGGTAGTAATACATATTGATTTGAAATGTTACATGACGTCGTTGTCTTGGGAAAATAAATATCCCAATAAAAAATAGAACGAGCCACGAGCCTCCACTGCCAAACTTTCAAGCGCTTTATCTCCGTAATGTTTTCGTTGATTGACTTAAAAAAAACTTTTTTTCGCTTTATCTTTATAATTTTTTGGTTGACCTTCAACCAAAAAAATGCAAAGATGAAGGGCGTCAAAACTTGACAGTGGGCTTGTTCTATTTTTTATTGGGATACTAGCTGACCCAGCGAACTTCGTACCGCTATAAAAATATGGGCAGGTGGTAGAAGAGAAAATTTAGGGATGTATGTATTTTTAATAGCACATTATAAAAAAATAAATGTTGTCCAAAAAAATTTTAGGGGTGTGTAACGTAGTGTTCTATGAATTTCCTGGGATAAAATTCCTCCTAAATCATATGAGAACACTGCGTTACAATACCCAATAGTTTGAATTTTGTCGTAGGTTTAGAACACTACGTTACAGGTGGACAATCATTATCACTTAAGGATATGAAAAATAGATAGTAGCCGATTCTCAGACCCACGGAATATGCATATAAAATTTCATAAAAGTCGATCAGGCCGTTTCGGAGGAGTATGGTAACTAACATTATGACACGAGAAATCTATATATAAGATTTATTTTCCCAAGACCGCGATGTCCTGCGACATTTCAAATATGAAAACAACAAATAGGTTTCCATTATTTTTTGATAATCTTACACTGACTAGATAGAATTTCGTTTATTTTACCCCGTCATCATCCATATTGCCATCAGATTATGAAGCTTTATGGAAGCTGATCACATCAGAGGTGCCAGTGTTCACGTGGGAAGATGACGATGATACACTGACCAGCACCGTCAAATCCAAAAGCACGAAGAAATCGACCGCCAAGGAGACCACTGTGGCGGTAATATTTGTTTATTTATTTGTAAAAACACAAAACAGGTTACAGTCGTAAGTGTAGTAAATTAATTAACAATGGCCCAGGAACAAACTATAACCTCGAACTATGTATCTTAAGCATGGTAAGTATGAGCAACTTATACCTAATTAAATAATTACAATATCTTTATCTTTATATATATAATTCTTCTGTGAGTGTGTATGTCACTGAACTTCTCTTAAAAGACTGGACCGATGTTGATGAAATTTTTTGTGTGTGTTCAAGGGGATCTGAGAATGGTTTAGATTCACAATTTTGTCCGCTGGACAACCCCTATTTTTTTAGGGCGGTACGAAGTTCGCTGGGTCAACTAGTAGTACTATAATTGTTATACAGCCAGCGACAATCTGAGTACAATGTGCTACTGATTGTACTTACAATATTATGTACTAAAGGAAAAAGCGAAAATTTTGGTTCTAAAAGATTTGGCGTCATTCTCGAATATATATATTTCTATGTTTGACCCGGTTGAGAAATTCGGTTACATAGGCGACACATTTGAAAAATAATTTTGTAAAAGGATCTTTTGATGCGGTTTAACTTGTTAAGAGAATAAATTAGGATTCCTTGTTTCTGTACGTTATGATAAAATCTATTGACAATTTAAGCCTTTGGTCCAAGCTGAATCTGCAGTCGTTAGCACCTACCAATTCGCACTGGGCCCTCTCGATGGGTCACGACTTTGTCCCCCTATTATACCCATAGGGAAGGCTTGTGCTCCAGCAGTGGATACATTAAAAGGCTGATAATGATAATGAAAGCTACTTTTAATTCGTTTCTGTTGTTCAGAGAAGTTCTTTGGCTACAATTCTGATAAGGGACACTAAAGACTTGCCCCCTTATGCTCTACCCGGGATCACTCCTGCGCATGAAATGACTCTTGCCGTCAACATGGCTAGAGACTTACCATTGAAGAAGCCACTTCCAGAACCAGGTTATATAGACAAAATGTTATTTTATATCAACATTTGCCCCTATTGGAATTCTAACCCGGGACATCTAAGCAGGCGACGCCATGAAACCTGGCGTATATACCACTCAACCGGATGGAGGTCGTCGATAGGATAAATGTTCTGGCTTGCATAACTGAAGTTGGGGTACCTATTTAGGACTGCTTTCAAACAATCTCACATTAGAGTCACGCAAACATTGCGCGTAGAATGAGCCGTTTTCTTTGCGTGTTTTTTTTCGATTGCTCCATCTAGGCATGAAGTGAAATAGTTAAGGATTACACTTTTGATTTGCAAAATAAATGTTACTGTGATGAGCATTTTTTTATATAGCCTGCTAGCCAAATGACTCTACCCCACCTGATGTTAAGTGGTGATAAAGTCTTAAAGCGAAGATAGGTAGTACAGCAGTTATAAACTGCTACACCAACCATCCTCTCCTTGCAGGCCTGCAAAAATGCTTCTTCACGCCTCTCTTAAAGGACCCCAGATTGTAGGAAGGAGGGAATACGTGCGATTGCAAAGTATGCTACTTACGAATAGTACGACAAAGAAACGAGTCACCAAATATCTTTGATCATGTAGGAATAGTGGCCACAGTAAGTCGGTGGCAACGTACATCAATATCTAGTGTTATTTTACTGTCATCAGTAAGGTCACGGTAATATTATCTATACAGTATTATGACTCGGCCCTGTCCTTGAAATAATTGCCTACGGCCGAGCGGGGCGTATCCACGCTGTAGGGCTGTCCGCCTACAGTATTTTAATTTCATCTACGTAATTAAGTTTCTTTCTAGTTTTGTGATTGTAAATATTTTATTTCATATGTAAAAAAATGTTGTGAATGAATTAGGAAGTGTTACACAAAATACATGTTATTTTAAGTGTAATATTTAATAAAAATAAATTGATTTGAGACAGAAAAATATTTACGCCTCGACCGAGACGTACGAAAAGCTTTATTATTAAATTTAATAGTATAATGAGTACGCATTTGTATAAAAAGTTTAATTATTGAAGAGTTCACGCAACCAAAACCAGCACAATGTATGGTATGACACGCTTTCCGACCGTTTGTATGAAGATAGAATACTGTATAGATAATATTACCGTGGTAAGGTGAAGATTTTTTTCCTAGACGGTTTCCAATTCCAGCGAAAAATCCGATATGCCTCTTATACTTTTATGGAACGCGTGTTAAGCCTTTGACAGCCTCCTGGCTGCATCTGCAGTTTTTCACACTCACGTGCATCTTAAGCCAATGCTCCCTTAGTGGGAACGTTAATACGCCGCTGTATTTAAAGATGATTTATGAATATCGGAAACATGAAAGGTACAGGAGAGCAAAGCAAAGATATGGAAGTTACTCCACAATGGAGGTCCATGCGGATGTTGATACTCGGTAAACAAAACTTGGTTTGATGTTGTCAGTTAGGTAAAAATTACCAGTTTAAAGAAAATGTTACATTTCATTAACCTTAAATTTTACTGATAGACGTTTAAACCTAAAGGGAATTAGACAATTAGGGCCGCAGTAGCATAAGGTCTGCTGCATTGCCCACGCGGATTTTTTTCTAGTAAAATTTTCTTTACATTTTAACGTTAAATTAATTTATGTCAAGTTAGTAAAGCCATTTTTTCATAAGGCGACTCGAACCTTTTTCTACTGTACTTCACTCCACTTCTATTTAATCTACTTTGATTCTCGTAGATGTAGCAATGTGGAAGCATTATCGATGGATAGACTGGGCAAGGCAGCATGGTCTATACGAAGCCTATGATTGCCCGAACACCAGATTTTTGAAAGTGAACGGACTATTGAAACTGTCACACGCACCGCATTTGCTGGACGTTCAGAGCACAGAGTCAGTGAGTAAACTTAAAACTATTATTTACTTTATTTCCATTATAATGAGAGCAGGGCCGGATTTAGAGGTCCAGAGACCTCGGGGCAACAGAGGACCTCACCCCAAATTATTTTCCAAATAAAGTAATTTTTTTTTTCAGTCGTGTTTTTCAATAAATAATTTATTGTGAATAATCATGTATGTTAGATGTACAAAGTACTGTAGGCTGTAGGTAATTGTAAAAGAGCAAAAAAAATATCAGAAGAAAAGATGTTTTCTAGTGTTTACTAGTTGGAATTTGAAAGATTTTTTTTCCGAAGTCTCTATTGTGGGGGCCCCCAGTTTGTGAGCTTTCGCCCCGGTTGCCCTCCCCTAAATCCGGCAGTGAATGAGAGTCGGATAAGCTATAACACAGTGGTCAATAAATCGAATTTGAATGATGGTGTCCACTTCTTGAAATGAAATTGCCTTTGCATATGACCATTTCTGGTTTTGACCACTTCTGCTTAACATTAACTCGTAATATGACTGGTTTCTGGATTCTACCATTCCGTATTTAAAAAAAAAGTTTATGAGTTTTAATAAAACTAGTTTTAACGGGTTAATGCACGAAATTTATTTATTTATTGCCGTTTCGCAGCCTTTTTAGGTCTGCTTCGTACAATAATTTATAGTATTTTTTGAGTTTTAGTTCTCAGTATGGGGCATCCCCAAAATATATTGTTCTTTTTCTATTTTTGTGTGAGAATCTTAATGCGGGTCACAGAATACATCTACTTTCAACAGTATAGTTCTTATAATTTCGGAAAAAAAGTGGCTGTGACATACGGACTGACAGATGGACGGGCATGACGAATCTATAAGGGTTCCGTTTTTTGCCATTTGGCTACGGAACCCTAAAAACAATTGAAAACAAAAAAAATGAAAACCTGAGGGTTATATTACTGACGTGATGATAATTTTTATATAACGAGTGTGGCGGCGACATCTACATGCTCCACATATAATGAACATGGAGGAAATAGTCATTCCTCCTCAAGAGATGGCGCTACCGACGCACTATGGGAACTTTGACTCATTTTCATCTCAAAAATCTATAACTCCTGTGTTAATAAAGATATCATCATGATTTTTTTTTTCTGATAATCTTGAATATATTTGCTTTTAAATAATGTATAATTTGTGTATAAAGTTTATTTATAATACTTACAAAAAATAGGCAAACAAAAAATATACGATTTTTTTTACTTACATCTATGTTTTAATAAGTTTATAAAGGTAACTAGTAAATGTAACTGCTTAAAATTAAAAACAAACATCATAGTAGCTCAAATGTCACTTAAGAGCTTCTTTTCTTCATCAAAAAATTCTAAATATTTTTTAGTATAAGGTTTTCTCAAACTTGTAATTTACGGATCAGAGGTATACAATAGTGTGTAGAACATCTTCGTTGGTGGCTGTCCTCGAATATTTTCTTGCATTATGAAGCCTGAACAATTTGTAGTTTTTGTTCCGTGACTCTTGAGCATCTACTAAAAGTTGCCCAAGAGGCAATACCGAAAAATGACGTATGACACTTGCACCATGAATCAAAAAATTGTGCACGGAAGATGGCACATAGTACAATTTATATTTATTAACATACAGTTGTGCTCAATCAAATCCCATCTCCAATTTCAATTTTGGCTTAAGAACGTTATTTCTATCGGCCTGCTTTAATACAGCGTTGAAGAAACTGAGTTATGAAAGACTTCTGAATACTTGCGATAATTTTAGCAATATTTGCATCTGAAGATTCGGTGAAATTAATTCGTGTATAGTTAGAGATGGAAACTCCATAATTTTGAATCACTTTCAAACAATAAGAGACTTACGTTGCGTCTGGTACACGAGAACTGACTCATTGCGGCAAGATATTTAAAAAACAATTATTTACGACAAAAACTAATGAATAACTGTAATATTTCATACTCAAATAAACTATTTTATACCGAAAAATTATGAAAGACGTGTGCAAAATTAGTAGATGTAAACTATTTTACAATTTTGCGGAATTGCGATTTTCCATGATTCTTATGTGAATGGGATCTAAATATTATGATAAATACACGATATTAGTATAGTATAAGATAAAAAATATATAACAAAAGGGCCAAGAGCATTTATTTAAATGTCCGTGCTGAGAAACCCGAAATCAGGAAAGTCTTATTAAACGTACCTAAAAATATATGTTTTCACACGCTGATATTCTAAGATATTTGACAATGTTATGCACTGATACAGCAGAAAAAAATTGTTGCCGTCAAATAATATTATATTATCTAAGAAATAACACAAAAAACAGAACTTCGGCAAGCTTCGGCAAATGTCAAAACTCCAACTGAAAGTTTAAGAAACGAAAATAGTCCACATTATGATATAGATTTTTTTTAATTGAATAATATTAAAAAAAATCATATATTTAAATTTTATAGAAAAGAAGACATTCTAAGTTTTCTAAAATGTTATCACACTTACATGACTACTTTTGTTATGATCCTATAAAATTATACCAAACTAACTGAAATCTAATTATTATTTTTGTATTTTTTTCATTCCCTGACTTTAGATGTTCTTCTTTATAAAATACGAAGAGTCAGAGATTTAAATTATATTGATTATAATAAAGTAACTCTTTAGCTATAATTTGATGTATAATACATGCCTCGAATCACAGTTACGAAAAAAGCATTTATGAGATGGCTTTCTTAGGCGGGTTCCCATAGTGCGACGCTGCGTTCACAACGTATGGAAGCCTACATCGCGCAAGAGAAATTCGGAGCCTAACACTCCATATATACGATGCCCACCAACACCATTCGGGCCGCGGCCCCCGAGCTACCATCACCCAGCTCGTAAGAAGATCTTCCTCTTTGGCCTTCCTACAACGAGTATTAGAGTTGATTTTATATTATGGGTTACTTTTATGTCTAATCTATCTTATCGAGTGACGATACGTTACACACCGAAAAAGTTGCGTATTTTTGCACATCGTAATAAAGGTAGGGGTAAAATGCAGAAATGGTCCATAAAATAACTAGGTTTAGGAACCACAAGAAGTGGTCGAATCCAGAAGAAGTCATAATTATAAAAATACCAATGAAGATCCTTCAACGTCAAATCGAGTAAATCTCACCCTCACCTTTGCCCTGATATACCACATTTTGTAACTTACCAGTTTTTATTTCATAGTATTAAAACTTGTTTAATAAAAAAGGTATTGTTGAATTATAATCATTTCATAATATTCTTAGGTTCCACAAATTCATTTCCACAGTAGAAATAAATTTTGCCACAAAGTCGCCCACGTCATATCTCTTCTACGTTCATTTAATTTTTGAGAGACAACGATTGTGTCACCTGACGCTGTCTGAGTATCCTTTATACCTAGACCGTAATTTTAATGAAATTTGAATTTTCAGATAATTGCTGGCTATCGCGAGGAACATGAAAAAACAGCTACGGTAATTTTATCTTTTAAAGCAATGACTTATTTATGAAAGAATTTTATTCAAGCTAACGGTTTTTGAGGAGCTCGATGGTGCGGGTGGTTAGCGCGTTCGGCTGCGATCGTTGAAGTTAAGCAACTTTCTCAGTGGTCGGTCATCGGATGGGTGACCAAACATCTTCTATCTTGAGTTCCTCCGTGCATCGGAAAGCACGTTAAGCCGTTGGTCCCGGCTGCATCCGCAGTCGTTAGCACGCGCCAATCCGCACTGGGCCCGCGTGGTGGGTCATGACCCAATCTCCCTATTCCATCTATAGGGAAGGCCGATGATGATGAACGGTTTTAACCTTTTACCACGTAAGCTACCAGATCTGGCTTCAGGTGTAAATGCTAATTGTGCCCAAGTTTGGACGTTATGCACCATACGATCACTTTCCTAACTTGATTCTTATGGCTCTTTTCGAGATACTGGCATGTTTTATACCGAACAGTTTAAAGGATCATTATTGCAGGCCGGCAAGGTGAGGATGCTTGGTGTGGCAGTTTACAACTGCTGTACCAGCTATCTTCGCGTTTTTTGTACTTTATCACTACTTAACATTAGGTGGGGTAGAGTCATTTGCCTAGCTGGCTATATATATATATATATAAAAAACAGAAATAATTTGAGACTAGTAACACGCTCTGTCTATATGAATAACGGAAAGTTTAGTTAACTATTTTAGAGGATATGGTGTAAGACGTCCTTCTGGCTTCAATAGTAAACATCTTCTCAACCAGAGTCTACATACCCATAATTTGTTTTTTTTTTTTATGTTTATGCTTACAAACATTAGCTGTTGGTTTAGTTTAAGAAGGGAACGCCGAAGGATGCCGCACGATCGACTGTTGGCAACGCCAGCGCCGTGTCGCCAGCCAAAGAAGAGCTACGTGAATGGGTGCAATATGATGCAGTAAGTCATTTGAAGGGTCCTTTTTGAAGTGATAACTACTTATGGGAGGGTAACCGCTTCGTTACGTAACGCGTTACGGCACCAGTCTGTCTGGCTTCCCTTCCTCTCATAGGCATAGGCAGGCCTCTCTCATTCTAACCCGCAGCGCCGTTTTAGTAGTACGGCGGGCTGTTCCGCAACCCGAGACCCAGTGCCTATTTTGCGTGGGGACTGGCAACAGTCCTGCCATCCCAGCTGCTCCAGAAAGCCCAGCAGTCCCCAGATGTTGCTGCAGGCTTCTACAAGTGTCCGCGGGCTTCCCATTAGAGAAGTCGTTCGTCTCCAGCAGCACATGGGCGCTAGTCTCCTCCCACTCCAGGCATGCTCGCTCTGCACAGAGGGCTATCAGAAATACCTATATTATAAAGGTGTTTGTTGAAGTAGCCGTGGTCCGTGAGTATACCCACGATTTGTTTTAGGACTTGTCTAGGTAGTCTGATTAACTTACGTGATAGCTGCTAGTGGGTACTTTACCTTAGGAACGGCTGCCCTAGCTTGCCTACAGTCAGTGAGTTTTGCCCAATATTCGTCGTGTTGTCGTTGACAGCACTGCCTTATCCAGGTTCTCAGCTGTCGATAAGGTATGGGTAAAATTGGCTCCGGGCCAATGGCCGTCCTGCTAGACCCTTCTGTAACCAAGCAGTCCACCGCATCGTTACCGCTTGAGCCGCTGTGTCCTTTATCCATTGTAAGGTCAGTCTATTAAGCGCAGCGCCGCTTAGATGAGTTTCAGATATCACTTCTGTCGTGCGTCCCGAGACGCATACCCTTTTTTTTATTAAATATTATTTTATTTTAAAAGGGTAGCAAACATGCGTATGACTTGCCTGAATGACAAGGGAACACCATAGCATATAGACGTTTACGATACCACAAATATCAGTCGCAGCAATGCCTGTCCTGACCCAATTCCCTATCCCGTGGAGACCTGGAACCTTACTCCCCGACTGAAACATAACACCACAAAAGGATAGTTTTGTTTTACTGTGATCTTCTGTAAGGTGGAGTTTACTACTCCAGACGGGCGCTCCAATTCGAGCGGTAAAGCCGCTATGACCTATTTATAATTATGCAATTTGTAGGTAACATTATCTAATAAACATATTTATTAAAACATGTTTGAAGGAACATTTATTTTCAACAACGAAGCGACCAATTTTGCTGATTATTAACTTGCTGTGTTCGTAATATTGAATATTAGTTTGTGCCCGCGAATTTGTCAGTGAGAAAAAGAAATGATTTCCTATACAAACTTACTTTCCTCTTTTCGCCCTCTCAAAGGTTATTTTCTGGGATAAAAGCTATATTATATTCTTTATAGTTTCCCGGGACTCAAACCCCCTCGGTACCAAATTTCATCTAAAAAGTTTCAGCGGTTCAAAGTGAGAAATGGTAATAGACAGAAACATGTTCGCATTTATCAATAAAAATCAATGCATGAAGCAACATTAATTAACAAGAACGAAGCGAACGAATTGCCTGTTTGCTTTTGTTGTGTTCGCAATCGTAATACTGAATAAGTAATTGGAATTATCACGTCGTCTGCGATAGTTGAAGTTAAGCAACTTTCGCAGTGGTCGGTCATTGGGTGGGTGACCAAAAATGTACTATCTCAAGCTCCTCCGTGCTAGTGACAGTGGGGACATTAAATCAAGGGAACATTTTAGCGTACTGCGGCCACTATACGGAGCGGGGCGGGCCGCGCCGCATCGGCTATAAATGCGAGTGCGACAATGGGTATTTCCAATGAGGAATTATGCTTATTATTAATATTGCTGCATGAGTAGCAAGAAAATAATAAAAAGCAGGGTCGCGTCAATGGGAAAATACGCTCGCCGAGAGATGCGCCAACTGATTCCATTGTGGCCCTGTACGCCCCGCCTCTATTCGACGCAGTTTCATAGAAAATGCTAGCGGATTTTTGCGTGGCGATACGACACGATGCAACCCGCCTGGTGGATACTAACCTGAATAGGATAATGATGATCACTTTACGCTTATAGTTTTACCTGCTACTCTTACTGTATGATCTTATAAACGTATTAAGTAGGTCTCATTTTATATTAACATTTATTTAGATTTTTTTTTATTATTCCAGTTATATTCAATGGTGAAGAATTACAGCGTCCTATACTACCCATCGATGTACCAATTTACGTCTGCAGGGAGTAACCCACCGATTCGGATTACTAAAGGGCTTTCTAACAAACCAGTGGATATTGTTGCACCAAAATGTGCACCATTTTATTTACAAATAGACGGACCCGAAGAAAATACTCTTAGAATATCCTTGAATGTTCTTCATCCAAGAATCATTTCAAATAGTGGAGTGCCATTTGTTGATTACATAGAACCAGCTTACTTGATTTTAGAGAAATTCGAATGGTTTGTTGACAGTCATTTGCCAATGGCTAAGGGCTATGTCCAAACCAGAGGATATGATTCAATTGAAGTTACTTTTGAGCCTGGAAGACATATTTGCAGGTCTGTGTATGGTGTAGAAACTAGCAATACACCCAAGAAATACCGGGTTACCCGCCGTTTATAAGGGATATTTTCCCGCAGTAAAACGTAGCCTGTGTGTTAATCCAGGGTGTCAGCTAAGTCCACACCAAATTTTATTAAAACCGCTCCAGCCGTTTCGACGTCAAGAAGTAACAAACATACACCTATACTCACAAAATTTCGCCTTTTTATTTTTAGTGTGATTATGCTATGCTGGGTAGAGGTGAGAATACAAAACTCGCACTTCGGCAATTGGATTTATGATGAATTAGGTTAAGTTGTCCCACACTATCTAAGTGTATCTGACTTTGAACTTTAGATTTATTTAAGATAATCAATTGAGAAAAACTTTTAGCTTTTAAAATATCAATTTACTAATTGATATGTAGTGTTCTTTAGAATTTATGATATAGGTACCGATGTGTAGCTGCAGGTCTGTAATATTTAACCTTCTGGACTCTTTTATATTTCCGGAACAAACAAGTACTTAAACAGAGGTACTGTTGACTGATGGCAATTTGATTGTCTGACTGTAATCATCTATCTATCTTTGTACATACATATTAAACTCAATATGTATTTTATTGGTCCCCTTCTTTTTCTAAAGTTTCCATTTTCTTTTATTGCGTAACTTTTCCCCTTTAAGGAACGGTAGCCTTAACACGAACCAATCTCAAATTCGAATAGTTTGCGAGTCCGAAATGTCATTTTCAAATGTGTATTTTACCCCTAGTACGAACCAATATCATTGCCGAAGTGTCATTGCCAAATGTGTAATGATTTTTAGTTCTCGTTACGTACTTTGTGCCGCTGCTGTTCAAGTTTCCATACAAAATTGGACATTGACATTTCGGTTTGCAAACTATTCGAATTCGGTAATGGTTCGTGCTAGGGGTACAGTACCCTTAGCACGAACCAATATCGAATTCGAATCGTTTGCGAGTCCGAAATGTCAATGTCAAACGTGTTCTGAGTTTTAGTTCTCGCTACGTACTCTGTGCCGCTGCTGTTCAAGTTTCCATACAAAATTGAACATTGACATTTCGGTTTGCAAACTATTCGAATTCGATAATGGTTCGTGCTAGGGATAACTGATGTTTAGTTCCCGTTACGTTCGTGCGGAACTGCTGTTCGAGTTTCCATACAAAATTTGACATTGGCATTCGCACTCGCATACTATTCGCATTCAATTTAGATTACGTCAAATGTGTACTGATTTTTAGTTCTCGTTAAGTCCGTTGTGACACTGCTGTTTAAGTTTCCATACAAAATTTGACATTGTCATTTCGCACTCGCAAACTATTCGAATTCGATATTGGTTCGTGCTAAGGGTATTGACATTTACTTAACATGATTTCAGGCTCTGGGTACATTCGAGGATGAACTGGCATATAATGCTTCTAAGTGAATCCATATTACTTTTGGGCACTAAAGACATTGTCCAAGCTGCGGCCGTCAAGGAATGCCCGTGGGCTGCCAAATTCCTTTCCCATTTGGGTGTTTCCTTTACTAGCTGGAGTAGGATGAACAGATCCAATCTCAATGTATTAGCGGCTGATAGGGAATTTTATCGGTAAGATTGCTTAGGAACTGTATTCCGTTTGATTTTTGATTAAGTAGGTATCACTCTAGTTTGCTACTGCTGCTTTTGCATTATTTAGTTCTCTTTTAATCATGATGTTATAATTAATCTAAGTATAATTTGTTAGGTGTACAAATCTTGCTAAGGGAGAACTTTGAAATATAACAGGATTTCCAAAACCCTTTTAAATTCATGGCGTATCACTAATCAATGTTATTTTTTCACTTTAGCTCATACCAACCTGATTTGACATGGGACCAAAACAAAACAGGCTACAACAAGTCGTTTTTACATTGGATGTTCCGGCAGGCTTTGAAATCTTTACTCTCCAAACGCCTCATGCCGAATGACTATCGTAATGTATGTGGTGTGCTGCGAAGATATTTCTCTGACCCTGATTTCGGATTTCCAAATAAGCCAAAACCTCAAAAATCTCTGAGAGAAATAGCAAATATGGATCCTTGCGACTGTGTTATGCCTGAAGCAGAAGAAATGGAAGCAGATGAAGAAGTGATCGAAGAACAGGTGGCTATTAAGTATTTTTAAGAAATTTTTATTGATCACTTAATAAATATCAATCTGTTCCTTTAGCTTTTGAACATAATATGCAGCGTGATGTTCTTAAACTTTTTACAGTGAAATAGCATTAAATTTCAGTGCTGTTCTTGCAGCTGGTGAATTTCAAGAGCACCATAAGGGTAAGGGATTTGCGCGAGTATCGTATAGATGGGCTATGATGGCCGCTTACCATCAAATGAGCCATGCTATCGACTGTTATAAAAAACAATACTACATTATAATAATTGTGATTTGATCCGAAATAACACAATGTGTTACCAACGTGTCGTCAGTTGCCTTTGTCAGGGAACACATACCATGATAAAATAAAAAAAAAGGCTTTGTTAAAATATACTTATGTACTTACATTGCACCCGTATTTCACCTAAGCTATACATCATTTCCGACGATGTGAAGTGGCTATCTTCCTTGTAGCAACTAGTTTCTTTTATTTTTGACGTAGCTTTTGTAGCTGACACGATTCCTTATGATTATTGACAACCGATTTAGTCTTCTTCAGATTCACAAAGCAACCTAAATACTAAAGTTCAGGTATCGAGTGACGGAAAAATTACTACTGCTGATACTAAGAAATACGAAAGTTCTTTTTATTGAATACGAGCTTACCCAGCCGGACCGGTAATGTTGCACATTACGTACTTAATGAAAAAATCTTCCGTTTATAATTTGTATATTATAGAATTTATCTATGACCCTCAATAGATTTTTTTTATAATATATATAGGCATAAGTTGAAATAAATACCTACCGACCAATATTTTGACGCCTCACTGGCGGCATTTTCTTATCAATAACTATAGAAAACACGACGAAAAATCTCTAAATACATATCATAACACACGTTACCGTTTTGCTGTTGCAAAAGAAGCAGTGATTGTAATCAACACCCAAACTGTCAATCTTAACAATCAACCTTTTTTTTATATTGTAATATTTATAAAATCGTTTGGATTTTTTAGATAGCCAGTCACTTTTCATTAAAGGTGATATTAAAAATAATTCTGTTGTCTTTTTATGATATGTATAGTAATCATGCCGGTAAAATGGTAGAATATTTTTATTTTTTCATCGTCTACCCCATCGTGTGGAGTATCGTTGAAAAGAGCCTATAAAATAATTTAGGGGTTTCTAGGACTATTTTTCGATTTAGGGATCCGTTTGATACTACACCCCCCCCCCTTCTAAATGCTTAACTATTGGCTTGAAAAACCTGAAAATTTTCAGGTTAATAGTGCTTTTCATTTACTTTTAAGGAAAATTATAACGGTTAAAATAGATTTGTTACTTTAAAAGCAATAGTTCAACTTATGTATTAGAACATTTCTGGCCTAATAAAAATTCCTTAGAAGAAAACATTAACAAAAACCCTACTGCGCGTGGCAGGACACGCACTTATTTCAGTCGTTCAGCACTGATGCGCGATTCATTTATATATATGTATACGTATTAAGCATATCAAAATATTTTAGCTTACATGTAAAGTAGCCAAACCAAACCGAATTTTGTATTTCAGTAAAGTTCTATTAGGGGCGAACATTTTGAATGGGTGACCAAAAATTTACTAACTCGAGCTCCTCCGTGCGTTGGAAGGCACTTTAAGTCGTTGATCCCGGCTGCATCTGCAGTCATTAAAACCCACCATTCCGCACTGGGCCCGCATAGTGGGTCATGGCCCAAACTCCCTATTTCATCCATAGGGAAGGCCTGTGCCCCAGCAGTGGGGATATGAATAGGCTTATGATGATTAGGGGTAAACATTTTAGTTATCCGCGATCAATAAATCATAAAGTTTTTTGACAAATGCAGTTCATTTGTCAAAAGCCTTTATGATTTGAAAATATCTATCTTCTATCTCTTTTTAAAAATACTTAGGTATATGAAGAAAAACCTCTAGTAGATGAAGACATGATGGCACTACTTTTGAGAGATCCCAAAGATCCGATCACATCTCAAGTGTGTGAACTGGCGACCGAAGAGCTACCCTGCGGCATATTGAAAGAGGAAAGGGACAAGGTGGTAAGGAAGCATGAAGCTGCGACACTATTACAAGCTCACTGGAGGGGAACGTGGGCTCGAAAATGTCTGAGATCTCACGTGACATTTACGCCGGAAATCACCAAAATCGTGAGTTACTTGAATACTTTATTTAGCCTTTTGATTAAAAAAGAAGTGATAAATGAAACTAATCTAAGCGGTACTGCGGGTAAGAGTGAGAAAGGAGGAGCCTGCCTACCGCTGCCGTATGCGTGAGAGGAAGGGAAACCAGACAGACTGGCGCCGTAACGCGTTACGCAACGAAGAGGTTTACCCGTTTACCCTCCCTTAAGAAGTTATCTCTAAAAAAAGTCACAAAAATATTATTCTGCGTGAAAGTATTCGTATCGCCAGTTAGAAGAGGAAGAAGAAAAAGAAGTCTGTTTGTTCTTACGTCCTGTTTCCATGGAAACCTGACGATGGTGATTTGAATACTTTCTCGCTAGATATTCGTGCTTGGGACACTACAGTACCCTTAGCACGAAATAATATTGAATTCGAATAGTTTGCAAGTGCGAAATGTCATTGTCCAATTTTGTATGAAAATTTGAACAGCAGTGCCGCAACGGACGTAATGAGAACTAAAAGTCAATACACATTTGACAATGACATTTCGAACTCGCAAACTTTTCGAAATTGGCATTGGTTCGTGCTAAGGGTACTGGTATTTATGTTACAGAAATTAAATCAAGTTAATACAAGAGCATTGGTATACGATTTTATCTAATTTTTATCTAATCTAAATAAACAAAAAAAACTGTTCACTTAAATGACTTAAATTGAAATTTAGAAATTAATTGCTTAGTGATAGTGACGGTCAGTATATAAAAAATATAAATAAAAAATCATTTATAATTTTTATTTTTTAAGCATGTAACTGCTTTATGTTTAATTTCACTTTGCTATTCGGGCGAATGCACTGACCAATTATGCGACCGCGGCACTGACGTCCGCATCGAAATTCTTCTAGCCATTCTTAAGCTGCAAGGCAGCGCCATTTCTTCGCATTGTAGGTAACTCACAATCCCCCAAAAAATCATTTGTGATCCCAAAATAATCAAGTTATAGAAAAGATTAATGTTAAGTGTTAAAAAAATATTACTCAAATTGATTCTGTATTGATTGATATATCGCACACTGTCACTTATGCAAAAAAATCATTTTTTCAGGAGAAGCGTTTAAAACTTTAACATCCCAAGACATATAATATTTAGTTTTTTTTTTAATTTTTTTTTTAGATGAATAGCTAAGCTGTATAAGCTTTTCATCACGTAAAAATCTTTAAATATTGTATGTTTTGGGATGTTAAAGATTTAAACGCTCATCCTGAAAAAATAAATTTTTTTCATAAGTGACAGTGTCGCAACGGAGGTACGATATCTTATCTTTAAGGGTTGCTATAGCTATTTTAAAAAGTAACAATATAATATAGTTAATTAAAATAAGTTTAAAAAATATAGTCTTTTTCTATTATTTATTGACTACTCCAAATAAGATCTTCTCTTTTTTTATTAATAGTAGATAAGTACTAGAAAAGCTTACTAAACAGATGTCATAAATTTACGATTTGACACAGATAATGGAGAACGCATTCGGGAATCTGGACGCATTGTCAGCGTTGATGAACGAATTCTTTGCGATGTACCCAACAACGAAATCTGCATACTCCATTGCCTCAGCACTAACAGGAATGTACGGCTTGCGTCAATTCAGTGGCAGCTCACCGATAACGGCGAGCTATAAATGGATTCCCTTCTTCCAAGGAGTATTTTACTGCCACGAACAAGTCAAAGTGCATTTTGATCTCCAAAGCTCCACACAACATTGTACAGTAGCTGTTTATGATAATGATACTGGTCTGCAAAAGCCACAAGTTTTCAATGCGCATATTACTTTCGACTTCAGTCCAAATAACTTCGGGTAAGTACTTTGCTGAGAATATAGAAGTTCAATCGCTTCACCATCATCATCACCGACGACCTCCGTGGCCGAGTGGTTTGTACGCCGGGTTTCATGGCTGTCGCCGACTCGAGAGGTCCCGGGTTCGAATCCCGGTGGGGGCAGATGTTTGTGTGATGAATACGAGCATTTGTACTCCAGTCATGGATGTTTAATATGTATTTATATAAATATACTTATATATGTACAGTATATGTATTCTATCCGTTACCCTAGCATCCAATAACACAAGCCTTATAGTGCTTACTTTGGGGCTAGACTAATTGGTGTGAGTGTCGGAAATATTTATATTTATATTTATTATTATTTATTATCATCAACAGCCTATCTTAGTCCACTGCTGGACATAGGCCTCTCTAAATGCACGCCGCTCAGATCGAACTTGGACTACTCGCATCCAGTTCCTGCCAGCCACCTTGCGCAAATCGTCACTCCATCGTGCCTGAGGACGTCCACTACGTTTGCCTAGACGCGGTCTCCACTCCAGAACTTGTCTACCCCAACGGTTATCGGTTCTTCGGCAAATATGGCCAGCCCACTGCCACTTCAACTTGGTAATCCGGTGGGCTATGTCGATAATTCTGGTTCTCTGTTGGATTACCTCATTTCTGATGCGATCCTTCAGAGAAACGCCGAGCATAGCCCTTTCCATAGCGCGCTGAGCGACTTTGAACTTGTGGACCAGCCGTACCGCCAGTGTCCACGTCTCGGCTCCGTATGTCATAACAGGTAGACGCAGTAATTTGATTTGATTGATTGCAATCGTTTGATTCTCTAGTACTGTGCATTCCTGGACATGAAAAAACAGTTATTTAAAAACAGAATCACTTAAAATTTATAAGTATTCTATACTCAAGACTTATGTAAAGTCAAGAAAACAGAGTCGGTGCCAACAAAAAAGACAAATACGTATAAGTCGCGGCACGAAACTCTAGCGCTGTCTGTTATTGCACAGAAGTAAAAATTAAGATGTCTTGGGGGAAACGAGGTGCGCGGGAGGGATGATGCGATGTGATGCGATGCGATGCGACGATTGGCTCTTCAGTAGTACCCATGCGCAGCTTCGCGTTTTGTTCAGCGCTACATGTTACGTTCCGCGACCTGTATAGATATGAGATTACACTTCTGGACAGACATCGATTCCAAATATTGTAAATTTACGTTCAACTTCAATTTTCTTGAGTAATGGATTTTTTTGTACTGTCTATGTGTTATGTGTAACCGGATTTCCGCATTCATAATAAAAAAGACGATCTCCGTGGCGAAATCCATGTGGGGGCAGATGTTTGTGTGATAAATATGAGCATTTATAATCCAGTCATGAATATTTGATATTAATTTCTATATAAATATACTTATATATTTATCAGTATATGTATTCTATTCGTTACCATAATATCCCATAACACAAGCCTACAGTGTTTACTTTGGGGCTAGGCTAATTAGTGTGAGTGTTGGAAATATTAATTATTATTATTATTAAAATACTAGTAAGAAGGAAGTTGGAAACTTAAGCTCGGTTTACTTCGATAGAGAACACTCAAAGCTACGCTTCGCTAATTATTGTTTCATTCCATGCCTATTGTCCCGAAATATACATTGTTACTGTATGAAGGGTACCTGAGCTGCTATTCATTTAAATACTCCTTCGCATTTGTCTCAAGAACGTTTAAGCAACTTGACCCAATATTGGCATCAGTATAAAGTATGGAATGTGCTTTAGAAAATTATTATAAAGATTGTGAATCGCTTGATTCTAATTCTTTAACTAGTGATGGTCTTGCAGTGACACGTGATGTTGAATGTAAGGTTTAACTATATTTATATCAGGAATTTCAGCTAATTATGAATTTGATTTAGAAAAAATATTGGTTTATCCACTTTAAGACAATTAGGATTAATAATAAGAATTTTATGGGATTTCCTGATTTAGCTTTTAAAGCTTTGTTAGAACATTACCGACTTTGAGTTAGGATTATGAATTTGCATTCTATTATTGTTTATTTTTCTATCTACATTTTAGTTAATAAACTTTAGTTAATCTTATATATAAAATTCTCATGTCACAATGTTAGTTACCATACTCGTCCGAAACTTCTTGTCAGATTTATATGAAATTTTTTATGCATATTCAGTAGGTCTGAGAATCGGCTACTATATATTTTTCATAACTCTAAGTGATAAGGGTTGTCCACTCCTAACATTTTATGGTTCTATAGACCAACCCCTATTTTTTAGGCGGTACAAAGTTCGCTGGGTCAGCTAGTATTATTATAATATTACAAACTTTTGGTAAATCATCATCATCTCAGCCGTACAATACCCACTTCTGAGCATAGGCCTCCTCCAAGGATGTTCACACGGACCGGTCCTGTGCCACGCGCATCTTGGTGGGGAGCCTTCCCACCGAGCGTCGTCCGGTGCGTGGTTTCGAGAACCTTTTGACCCCAAAGGTGTTTGGTGAATAAATAAATATAATTGTGCGAATTGCACTAGCTTTCTGCTGCATCTGCTATTTTCGCGACTGGACATCACATCTAATCATTTTCAAGCAGGATGAGGTAATTTGCTAAGTCTTGTATAGAACCAAATGCCAGTATTAGCAGGATACAGATTGCTGTATACCTGGTATACTGCTGTCTTGCGACTAAAATCCTCTGATTAATTAAATGGCGATGGCGCAAGTGGTAAGCGCGTTCGCCTGCGATCTTTGAAGTTAAGATTTATTTATTTATTTTATTATCAAATACAATCATATACATACAAATTAAAAAAACCATACACGAAAACCTGTTAAGGTTTATATGTGTATGGGAGCCACTCATTTACCACTTTATACACTTTCAAGTTGACTATTTTGTAAGTAATAGCTTTTAAATTTATATTTATATTTATTGATTACAATGTTCGAGTACATTTCCTGTAGATTATTAGGCAATTCATTGAGATAGGAAGGTATTAAATAACAAAGCTTTCTATTTCCGTGGACATTATTACATTTCGGCAACAAAAATTTTCTACGATCCAATACATTTCTCATATTATCCGGTCTCTTATTAATATTCAAGTACTTAGTCTCGTTACATTCGGTTAGAATAACGTATTTTACCTTGTCATAAACATTCATCACATTACAATATCGAAATAATTCTTGTGCGTTACCTTTATATTTAACTTTTATATATTTGGGTACAATTATCTTTAGCATTTTATACTGAATTTTATAAATATCCTCTATGTATGTGTTATAAGTTCTTCCATAACTACTTAGGCCATAACTGACAACAGATTCAGCTAGGGACAAATATATGAGTCTAGGGTTCTGTATGGTAGTTTATTTTTTAATATAGATAGTCTACTCGCGATTGATCTTAACTTGGCGCATACGTAATTTTTGTGAGGTCCCCAGCAAAATCTCTCGTCAATCAAAAGACCCACATACATATGTTGTTTTACATTATCAATTGGCTGACACGTGCAATTATATGTCGGGTTATGAATACAATTATGATTGTGACCCACCACGGTGGGTGTGATGTCAGCTTTATTGTGAGAGGTGTGAATATGCAATAACTTAGTCTTTTGAGCGTTCACCACCAAACCCGTTGGTTTGGTTAGGTTAGGTTAGGTTGGGTTAAATGGGCCCAATTACATACGATATCTAAATTATTTTGCATTATTTGTCCAGCTTTACTTACACTTTTGGCGGCTACTACCAAGCAGGTATCGTCTGCGAATTGGTACACCGATCCCTCTTTAATAAGTGAATACATATCATTGACATAAAGTAGATATTCCATTGGGCCAAAGATGGAGCCTTGAGCCGTGCCTCTCTTTGTTAGAGTCATGTTACTGTACTGATCACATATTTTAACTACAGAGTGGCGATTCGTGTGGTAGCTTTTGATACTTTTGCAGTTGTCAGTCCTTGGATGGGCGACCAAAAATTTACTGTTCTTAGCTCCTCTGTACTTCGGAAGGCACGTTAAGCCGTTGATCCATGGCATTCGTGTCAATCCGCACAGGGCCCGCGTGTCACGGCCCAATTTCCCTATTCCATCCATAGGGAATGCCTGTGACCAGTGGGGACATTAATAGTCTGATGATGATGAATTAAACGAAGTTTAGTAATAACGTAGTAGCCCTAGAACTGGCAGCTAGGGCTACTACGAGAAAAAGAATGCTGCCAGAATTTACTTCACGTGTTTCCAGTTATACTGTCATTGGACACGGAAGCCTCAATCAGCCAACTAGTGTGCACGCGGAAAGCCATTGGCAGCTCACGGTTCTTTCCAGCATCAGTGAAGCCTTCCACCTGTGCGACAACGACCCAGAAGGGTGTAAGGAGCAGCATCTCCCACACTCTCACAAACTGCACATCGATGAGATGTTCCTGCCTAACAGAAGGAATATCCTGGGAGGCATACAGATATCTGTGGTGAAGAACGAGGTAGCCTGTTTTAGAGCTGCGGCTACGTCGCCTGATGTAAGTTCTAGCCTCTCTATATATATAAAACTCAAAGGTGACTGACTGACATAGTGAACTATCAACGCACATCCCAAACCACTGGACGGATCGGGTTGAAATTTGGCATGCAGGTAGATGTTATGTCGAAGGCATCCGCTAAGAAAGGGTTTCGATCAGTTCTACCCCGAAGCGAAACGAGGGCGGGCCACTAGTACTAAATAAATACATTGTGTTCTCGATTTTGTCCGCGTGGATTTTAAAATTGAAACTACCCTGGCGATAGTTTATTGGTTAATGAAAATACCAGAAAATCTTCAAGTGACCCAATAAGTCCTCATATTTTCCGAGATAAAAAATATCCTATCACTTTAGCCGTTTTGCGTGATTCCGTATTAGACTTACAAAATTACAAACTATCGTATTTATAATATAAACAGGATTAGAGTGAGCCTGCAACTTTTTTTGTCTGTAATTGGGAATAATTGTGTTTCTATAGAATACTTTTATATCATTTTCATTTTGTGCATTATAGAAAATATCGATTTTTCAAGTTACTTTTTACTAATTTATAATATTAGCACACTGTAATTTGAGAAATAGTAGGGGAGCCCAAGCGGGGATTTTTGGATTTTCTCGAGCGCGGCAGAATAATATATGGGGAGCAACCTTGCACGTAGTTAAGTACTCCCACTATACCTGAGCCATCTATGTAGGGCCGAACGTCTAGGGCAGCAAAAACAAAATTTTAACAAACGGCCATGACTTTTGGTCGGGTCCAAATCGTCAGTCTCTTGAATAGGAGCTACTGGAGGGTTCACATAACATCCCTTATCAATGTCTGACGCGCTCGGTAATTTTTCCTATATTATACCCCTTCGTACGGCCACCCCCATATCATGCAAACCGCGGCAGATCAATGTTTTTTCCGTTCTTAAAAACGTTACATGAACCCTCTAGTAGCGTATATTCAAAAGACTGACGATTTGGGCGCGACCAAACGTCAAGACCGTTCGTTGAAATTTTGTTTTTGCTGCCCTAGACGTTCGGCCCTACATAGGGGGTTCAGTTATGGTGGGAGAACTTAACTTGGTACAAGGTTGCTCCCCATATGTTATTCTGCCGCGCTCGAGTAAATCCAAAAATCCCCGCTTGGGCTCCTCTACTATAAGGAATATCAACATTTGTTTTACTGCAACAGATTCCAAAACAATGTTTCCCGTCAATAATGAAATTTTTATTAAAATGTGCTGGAAAGTTAGCAGCTAAGTCTTTAACTTTTTTTGGCTTCCTTTTTCCAATATGAAATTATCTTGCAGATATTTTTTTTCTATATTTCCTGCATCAGCCTTTATTTTATTTACAGCTGGAGATGGAAGTGAAACTACAAACTATGATAAAAGGTCAGAAGCGGGAGATTGCGACGTGCTGCGGAAAAGGGGAGGTGTTCTGGCCTTACATAAAACTGGAACCCGCGGAATCACCTGAACCAAAGGTAAGGTAAAGAAGGCTGACTGTGCAGACGGTAAAATATCAAGTTCTACGGACTGTAAAATTTTCCAGTAGATTGTGTTCCTTATATCAATCAGCATAAGTCTCAAAATTATTTGAAGATATTTAGAAAGGAAAGTATACAAAATTCAATGGTAGAATTAATGAGTTTCAATGGTTTCTTTCACTGCAGGCAAATAAAGACTGGCATAGTCATCGAACCAGTACGAAAATACTAAAAAGTCCTCAAAATAAAACTTTATCTGGTAGTGGCAAGAGTAAATCTACAACTAAGGTGAAGCTCAATAAATTTAAATTGCATTTGGGTTTCATTATACAGAATACTTTCAGCAATTCATATTGATATTATCTCCAATCAATCGGACGACCTTCGTGGTCAAGGTTGGTTTCCAAGTTGTCGCCTACTCAAGACGTCAAGACAACGTGAGATCAAAAGCGACAATTACTAAGAAATTTAATAATCAATATTTTCATAAGTATAATTCTTTAGGCTAGTGAGAACTATGAACTGTTCTGAAAATACTTAAAATAATCCTTTTATTTTCTAGCTCAAAATCTCCGTCCCAGAACCGAAGTTATACTATATCGAGTTAGTAATATTAGTTTCAATAATTACCATTTTTAATCATAATAAAATATCTACCTTTTATCCTCAATGCTTAAAATAAAATTATATTTTATCATTTTATTGATGTCCCCACTGTTGAGGTCTGTGCCCCGTGGGGAAGGCACAGGCCTTCATCTTTTATTATTTAATAAGAAAGGCCTGTGCCTTTCTTATTAAATAATAAAAGATGATCGATCAATGTCTCCGAGCAGTCTGAAAAAAGGGAACCGATACTTTAAAGATAATTTATACATATATAAGGTGCTTTAATTACTTTATTACGAGTGGTTTTGGAAGAAACATTAAATCGTTGGTAGCAATTGCTTCTTCAGTCGATAGTGTGTCGAGATAGCCGTCATCTCTCGGTAATCCTAATCATAGGAAAGGAATGTTTAAACGGTAGCAATCAACCATAGCATAGAGAGGAGCTCGAGCGCCAGTGGTAAGCGCGTTCGGCTGCGGTCGTTGAAGTTGAGCAACTTTCGCAGTGGTCGGTCACTGGATGGGTGACCAAAAATTTACTATCTCGAGCTTCTCCGTGCTTCGGAAGGCACGTTAAGACGTTGGTCCCGGCTGCATCTGCAGTCGTTAGCACCCACCAATCCGCACTGGGCCCGCGTGGTGGGTCATGGCCCAATCTCCCTATTCCATCCATAGGGAAGGCCTGTGCCCCAGCAGTGGGGACATTAATAGGCTGATGATGAATCAACCATAGTTATGGCCTGCCTATTGGTTAGCTGCATAGTCTATATTCGCTTCTGAAACCAGAGTGACTAGATTAATAACTGACGTGTTACTTCATCATCATAAGCCTATTAATGTCCCCACTGCTGCGGCACAGGCTTTCCCTATGGATGGAATAGGGAGATTGGGCCATTACCCACCACGCGGGCCCAGCTGTTTTGGCGGGTGCTAACGACTGCAGATGCAGCCAGGACCAACGGCTTACCGTGCCTTCCGAAGCACGGAGATTGAAGAAGGTTTTTGGTCTTGCTAAAGCCACCGTCTCGTGTTGATTACTTTGACTCTTTTGGCGTGGAGGAGGAAGAGTAGAACCATATTCACCAACAGAACCACAACACCACCCAAAAGTTTACTGAGGTTTCCTGTAAGGCGTAAGTTGTTTACTCAGGCGGGCTCTCAAGTTCAATGGTGCAAGTGGTTAACGCCTTCGATCTGCGATCGTGGAGCTTAAGCTACTTTAGCCATGGCAGGTCATCGGATGGGTGACCAAAAATTTATTATCTCGGGTTCCTTTGTGCTTCGAAAGGCGCGTTAAGCCGTTGGTCCCTAGCACATTTCGATCATTAATTTGCCCTCGTGATGGGTCATGGCCCAATATCCCTATTCCATTTATAAAGTATCCAATGATTGTTGCAGGGTAACTGCTCCACAAGGTTGGCCTCTTACGTTAGCGCAGTGGAGAAGGGTAGACGAAATCAGGAACTCCCTAGATTTTATCAAGATAGATATTGGACAGCACAAGAAACCAGCAAAAGACAAAGTACTCTTTCATTTTATTTACACTTTCAAACCTTTTGATATCAAAAGGATATTGCAATTACATCGAATATTAGTTTAAACTAATATGTAGTTAGTAAGCGAGTGAGTGATGAATAAGCCTACCTTTGCATTGATCGCCTTTAAAAGCAATGAAACTTATTTAAATGTATATCCTCTCGATGGCGCAAGTAGTAAAGGCGTTCGGCTGCAATCGTTGAAGTTAAGCAACTTTCGCAGTGGTCGTTCATTGGATGGGTAACCAACAATTTACTATCTCGAGCTTCTCCGTGCTTCGGAAGGAACGTTAAGCCGTTGGTCCCGGCTGTATCTGCAGTCGTTAGCACCCACCAATCCGCACTGGGCCCGCGTGGTGGATCATGGCCCAATCTCCCTATTCCATCCATAGGGAAGGCCTGTGCCCTAGCAGTAGGGACATTAATAGGCTGATGGTGATGATATGCAATGCACTTACCAATCCGCACTAAGTCCGCGTAGTTGGTCATGGCCCAATCTCCCTGTTCCATCCATAAGAAAGTAAAATGGTTTTCATATGTAAATATAATTGCTGAATTTCCACGGTATAGGAATTAGCATGAAGTAAGTCAGGGTAGATAAGATCCAAGTTATGCTTGTAGGTATTTCGTATGTAGTTTATGGTGGCAGCTTACATTATAGAAGGTCGTATGCTTCTTTTCCACACTTTCCATAAAAAAGTTAAATGATCAAGACCTCACCAATAGAAAACAGATGCTGCTTTCTAATAGAAAACTGACGCCGTTCATTTGTCATTTAGGTTTCTTGATTTCCAGCCAGCATCAGCGAAAAGCAAAGATAAAGAAAAGGAGCTTACAGTTTCTGCTCAGCAACCACAGCCCGAGGACGCGTACGTTGTTCTAGAATGTGCACTGGCTATAGGAGGAGGAGCATATGCTAAGCGGGATGAAGATAGGGACCTGGAACTTGCCGCTGCCATCAAATCTTGGGATGCTAAGGAACCTGGAAGAAATCTAAGAGGAGCCCAGATAAGGTAGGACTTTGACTGACCAGTTATGGTGGATTTTCGCTAGTGTTGACATTTCATTGAAAAATTGAGTTAAACTAATAATAATGAAATCTTTAGAGATTAAGAAACTTATTTTAATATAGTTGTGATTTTATTTTATATTTATTTATTGTGCATTCTTGTTGTACATTATTGTTCTTAGATTAATTCTGGTCACAAACAAGAACTCTATGGATCTTATAAACTAATATTGTATTAAAATAATTTCATTGGATTTTTACAAATATAATTTGAATTAAAATAAAACAGAATTAAAATTTACTTCGATATATTCTTTTTTTTACTAAGCCTTATTTTGGAAAAAAATTTTTTTTTGTCAAATTTACGAGGACATTGGAGGCCTTTTATAGAAGTCGGCAAATGGTTGTAAACTTTATATATGTGACTCTCAACAATAATATTTTATGTCAATCTTCTCAATCATTAAGTAGGTATTACTTTGTATGCCACTTGAATTTCAGAAAAGAATTTCGAGCTGAGTTCTTGGAAGTTGCCCCAGTACCGCCGTCTGAAAGCGAAAGAACTTTAGTAGAGGTAAATAGAAAAGTTTATAAGTATGATAATGGAAAAGAAAACAAAATGCAATATTCAATAACACTTTTCTTTTAGGAAACATTATTAGAAGAGTTTGGCGAAGAACTTATAAGTAAGTCTCGTAAGTTTTAGATATAAAGTAGTCAGCCAAATTAAAATACGTCGAGTTTTTAAATTAAATTTTGTAAAGTTTTCAGAAGTACCTATGTATAAAATTTCTGCCGAAAAATCAAAGATTTTCAGCCGAAAGCGCCAGTCCTGTACTTGTTTTTTTCTATTTCTATTTGTCTAGTCCTGTACTTGTCTTTCTATTTCTATTTGTCTAGTCCTGTACTTGTCTTTCTATTTCTATTTGCTTAGGCCTGTAGTTGTCTTTTCTATTTCTATTTGCCTAGTACTCTATTTGTTTTTTCTATTTCTACTTGCTTAGTACTGAACTTGTATTTTCTATGTGCTTGCTTTTGGTTACTTGCTTTTCTTTTTAATTTGCTCTCTACACATTCTACTTAAACGTTTTTGTATATATTGTGACCAAACCTTGAATAAAAGTATCAGAAATATCATTTCTAATACTATATGCTTGACTCTAACTGGCAAAACTATTGCAGAGGGTACTCCACAACTGCAACAAGGTCCGACGCCAGAATCTGAAAGTGGAAGTAAGTCTGAATCACACAAACAACAGATAATACAGCCACAGGAATCTTTGGGAAAATCATTGTCTATATTACTAAGTTACATTTATGATTGACATCAACATTCCTATCCCCGAGTAACATAAATTAGGATTAAGCCAAGATATTCTCGACAGTTGTTGTGCCCTAAGCACTGAAATCTTCGAAATCAATTCCGACTCATTAGTACAAATAATGATGACTATTTTTTTTATTCGTCTATCAGGAAGCTTATTAAAAGTATTGGACACGTGTATTTTCTTTATTAAAATCACTGAGATATATTTATTAAAAATGTCGCTATACCTCACATCTTGGTATAATTATAACTTAGTAGTGACGTCATGAGCCTCTATAAACCGCTTTATCTTTAAAATCTTTTGGTGAATTGACAAAAGAAAAAATAATTGTCTATTATTTTTTAAAACCTTACTGACGTTATTATTCGAATTTTATTTTATTTATCCTGTCATTATTATCATTAATGAACAACCTCATATATTTCCATGTACAATTTTATTACCCGTTAGTATGAATACTATATAAGTTCTTATATAACTACCTAATTAAATTCTCGTGTCAAATATGTTTGTAACAAATCTCCTCTAAAATGCCTTGCCCGATTCTTACGAAATTTTATGTCTATGTCACCGGAAATCTGTGTAATGCAGGTATTCTATACAATACTTAATCAATTACAATAAGACGACCTCCGTGGCCGAGTGGTTTGTACGCCGGGTTTCATGGCTGTCGCCGACTCGAGAGGTCCCGGGTTCGAATCCCGGTGGGGGCAGATGTTTGTGTGATGAATACGAGCATTTGTACTCCAGTCATGGATGTTTAATATGTATTTATATAAATATACTTATATATGTACTGTATATGTATTCTATCCGTTACCCTAGCATCCCATAACACAAGCCTTATAGTGCTTACTTTGGGGTTAGGCTAATTGGTGTGAGTGTCGGAAATATTTATTTATTTATATTTATTTATTTAATTAGGCGTCTAGACAATGTATGAAATATTATAAATAATATTTTCCATTTTATATTTTGCCTAGGTAATGTATACAATTCCTAGGGATTGCATAGAGTATCTGCTAGCCTACCGTGAATGTATAAAAAAAAATTGGCCTGTATTTATCCAAGTCAAAGTTAACCTACTCAGTTGCATATAAAATGACGGACGGATTTAATTATTCTCACCGAATGAATTATAGTCCAATGAACGTTTGTCCAAATCACAGTGGGTTAGGTTAAGTTAGTGTTGTGACCTAAACTTGCGCGAGCCGAGCGAGCAAAGCGAGCGTGCCGCAGCAGCAGCCGGAGATGCGCCAGGCACCTGGGGGCCAATCGCCTAACGGAAATGCTTTGGAAAACGCTAACGCTTACGATTTTATTTTGTTATTTCTAGCCGCCTGAGGTATTCAAATGCCTCGCGCTCTTTCTTTTTCTTTTGCATTGGTAATAACAATATTAAAAAAAATGAGCGTGAGGTATTCGAAAACCTCAGGCTAGAAAAAACAATATAAAATCGTAAGCGTTAGCGTTTCCCAAAGCATTTCCGTTAGGCGATTGGCCCCCTGATTGATATAAATAAAACAAAGAAAAGTCGATGCGCTATCTCCTCTTACACAAATTGCCGACTGCGCATTCTGCACTGTATAGAATAACTAGCTGTCTCTGCGAACTTCGTATCGCCATAAGTGGTGGTAGAACGGTGGTAGAATTGGTGGAAGAAAGGTGAAAATTTAGGGTTGTATGTATTTTTGTGTAATGTATCAACAAAAAATAAAAATCAGAAAATTTTGTCAAAAAAATAAAATAAAGGCCTTTATCATTTAGGGGGATGAAAAATAGATGTTTTCCGATTCTCAGACCTACTGAATATGCATATAAAATTTCACCAAAATCGGTCGAGCCGTTTCGGAGTAGTTCAATTACGCACACCGTGACACGAGAATTTTATATATTACTAGCTGGACCAGCGAACTTCGTACCGCCATAAAAATAGGGGCAGGTGGTAGAAGAGAAAATTTAGCGTAGTATGTATTTTTTAATACCACATTATAAAAAAAAAGTCCAAAAAATTTTGGCGTTGTGTAACGCAGTGTTCTACTAATTTCCTGGGATAACATTCCTCCTAACCCATATGAGAGCACACGTTACAATACCCGCAAAGACGCATTGTAGGTTTCAGAACACTACGTTACAGTTGGACAACCATTATCACTTAAGGATATGAAACATATATAGTAGCCGATTCTCAGACCCACGGAATATGCATATGCCGATTCGGAGGAGTATGGTTACTAACACGCGACACGAGAATTTTATATATAAGATAACTAGCTGACTCGGCGAACTTCGTACCGCCCAAAAGTAATAATTTGCAATAAATTAAAATTGCGACTATAATTTGAGATTTTAACTATCCTATCTCTCAAGTTGGATCGAACTGCACATGGTGTGCGAATTTTATTATAATCGGTTCAGTGGTTTAGGAGTCCATTGAGGACAAACATTGTGACACGAGATTTATATATATTATTAAGAAAGAAGATAATATATTTGTTTCTTAGGTTTTCACGCACATCACTCATTAAATAAAACTAGTTTTTACGGGTTAATGCACGAAACTTTATTTATTTATTGACGTTTCGCAGCCTTTTCAGGTCTGCATCGTCAGAATAATGATTTTTTATTTAAAATTGTCGAGCTACCTTCGAAAGTCTTTCGAAAGTCTTTCGAAGGTAGCTCGACAATTTTAAATAAAAAATCATTATTCTGACCCGTAACCCGTAAAAACTAGTTTTATTTAAGAAGATAATAATAATGATCTGAGAACAGGACGTAAACTGTTTTTCCTAGAGCTCTGATATCCTAAGAAAGTGGTGCTGCATCCGTAATACAGTCGTGACGTCACTAGAATGTTGTTCATGTAAACAAAATGGTGCGGTTTCCTAGAGATCGGTAATTCTCCTTTAGGTCTTTTTGCATTCGTGATATTACGACCGCTATATGAAGCCACTGTATGAGGAGCTCGATAGCGTGGGTGGTTAGTGCGTTCGGCTGAGATCGTCGAGGTTAAGCAACTTTTGCAGTGGTCGGTCATTGCATCCTGAGATCCTCCGTGCTTCTGAAGGCACGTTAAGCCGTAAGTCCCGGCTACAACTGTAGTCGTTAGGTCATGGCCCAATCTTCTTATTCCATCCATAGGGAAGGCCTGTGCCTTAGCAGTGGGGACATTAATAGGCTGATGATGATGATATGGAGGCACCGTTATCCTAGGAAAACAGAGCTTTAGTGATAAGGGTTAGATTAAGTTTATTTTTTATTTTTACTGTTTATAATACGAAGTTCGTTGGGTCCGCTAGTAATAAATATATTTTATCAATAGTTATGGAGATGTCAGTGGAAAGTGAAGAGGAGGCGAAATATATAATGTTGCCCGAACAACTCAAGGACAAATTCGTACCATTGTATTTTGTACCGTTGTGCATGAAGGAAAAAGACGACGACTTGTGGTGAGTCAATTTCGAATTTCTAATAAAATTTTGATGGATTACTAATGGGTGCACGCAACTTCGTCTGCGTGGAAAAATTTGCTTCCAATACAAACTGAATCCCCGTATTATCTCTTTAGGAGGGGTTGAGTTCTGGAAAATTATTTATTAGCGCACGCCTGCATCATAACAGCTAATTTGTGCCAAACTTCAGTGCAATCTATCCTGTGGTTTGAGCTGTGTTGGTAGGTTGCCTTTTATTTAAGAAAATAAGGTTTTAAAGCAAAGGGTTTATGAAATCCAAGGGACCAACAAGATGTACACTGATAATAAAAATGTTTTGATTGTCTTGGCAACACGTTTGTACGACGATTTTGACGAACCCATTATACAAAATTTTGCTAGATACAATTTTTTCTATGGCGGATTCAATGGGTTCCTGATCAAGTCATAAATTTTTGACTATACTTAATATATGTTTTAAACTTTCATGGTCACTAATATTATAGTAATATAAGTTATTTACGGGATTGTTACCATGTCTGGAATCCTGTGGTTCGTATGTGTAAAACCGGAAATAATCAAAAAAGTGTCGTGTCGCGATCCGATACTGTAAGAGTTGTGTGTCGAGAACAGTTTCGAGTGAATAGTGCGAATGTGAACAGTGGTATGGGTATCGTTCGATACTAATAAAAGACTTCGTCGGAGGTTAGACCGATATGTCTGCCAATAACAGCCTACCCGCAATTACTTCAGTTACTCCATGATCATGGCGCTTGCAACAGTGCCGAAATATCGGAAACTCGCTAAAAACAAGGTACATGGTAACAATCCCGTTAATAACTTATCTTTATATATATAATTCTTCTGTGAGTGCGTATGTCACTGAACTTCTCTTAAACGACTGGACCGATTTTGATGAAATTTTTTGTGTGTGTTCAAGGGGATCTGAGAATGGTTTAGATTCACAATTTTGTCCGCTGGACAACCCCTATTTTTTTAGGGCGGTACGAAGTTCGCTGGGTCAGCTAGTATTACTATAATATGCATCATCGTCATCATCACCAGTCAATTAATGTCCCCACTGCTGGGCACAAGCCTTCCCTATGGATGGAGTAGGGAGATTAGGCCGTGATTGTGCTGTGATGTGACCTGGTGCGGTATGGCGGGTACTAACAACTGCTTAATCAGCCGGGGCTAAAGGTTTAAAATACCTTCCGAAGTACGGAGGAGCTCGTGATAATAAGTTTTTGGTCACCCGTCCAATGACCAACCATTGCGAAAGTCGTTTAACTTCCACGATTGCAGGTCGAATGCGCTAACCCTAACCACCTGCGCCACCGAGCTCCTCCAATAATATGCATGCCTATAATGATAATACTAAAATAGAAGAAAAGGTAATGAATAAGTCTATAAGATTTGGAATCAATTTATTACAAAAGCGTTAATTACGCAAGCCAGCCCCCCTAGCATGAGCACCGCGATATGATATATAGCTCGTTTTTATCACGCTCAACTGTCAAATTACTATGGAGTTTGACAGTTAGGCGCGATAAAAAACGTGTTATAATGTAAATTGCGGTGCTCATGCTACGGGGACTGATATCGTAAAAGAAATTTTAAGCTGTTACGAAGTAACACTGTTTGTTTATTGCATGTGCAGTGTGCTGTTGACCTCGGACATAGCAGAGGCTGCAATACAAGGCCGTCAAGCTCGTATAGAAGCGGGCTTGAATCGTATGAAGGAGTTGCAAGCGTACAACGAGGACTATGTTCTGGGCAAACAGAGGAGGCGGAGTTATCTTCTGGAGAAACTTTTCGTTGGTAAGGTCTTTTCTGTTGTTAAAAGTTTTATTTTAATACTGATTTATGTGTTAAGTAGTTCTGTTTTGCATGTTATATTATTCCCTAAAGCACAAAACCAAAAAAATGCATAATTTTAGAGAAATAATATGATTATTAATATGATTAGAGAAATAATATACTTACCTAAAATTATAAAGTAACCTGTTGCAATGTCGTTCATCTATGTCGCCAAATGTATAAAATTATGAGAAAAAAAAGTAATATAAAAATTGAGGCCTCGAAAAAGTCACAATGACTTAATTATTCACATTATCTGTAATAGATAATCAATGGAATGAAGAATTGATTCAAGCCTTAGAAGCAAGGGACGAAGCTATCGCTACAGAAACACTAAATCGTACTGTTTCTGCTACAAAAAGGAAACAAGAAACGAAAAAGAAGTAATTTTATGCAGAGCATTTGAAATGGTGGAACTAATTTCAAATAGGATTCGTTTTAAGTTGTTTTATTTTTAAGTTCAATTGTTGAAAAGAATAACTTCTTAGGTTCAATAAAGTGTAGTTTCCTAATAACATTGATTTTCAATACAAACATATCTTTGACATGGCTTTATCTTATAGGGTAAAATATCCATGGGTTCTACATAAAACAATTTATGGCTTTCTGTACAGCTCAACAGTCTGATAAAATCTGATAATGCTATTGAATCAAAACGGCTACCCCCTTATTCACAGATGATTGGAAATGTTTCCGAATTTGATTACCATGCTTTATGCTTTGTCTCATTCAGTCATTTGGATATTCGACGAAGCATATAAATTGAAACAATTTCAGATATGTTCATTTGTGTTCTTTTAGACACTTAAAATTAATAAATTTAGTTTAAATCTTAATATTGAAATATATTTACAGCTTTGCTATTAAATTTTAAGTTTGCATAGAATTAACTCAAATGCCATACGCTTAAACATATCAAATATCATAATCAACATATAATAATCAAACTTCAAAGAGGTCTTTGCTGCTGGGTTCCTGGGCAAGATCGACCAGATGCCATCTCGCCAGATGGATGGAATGGAGAAAAGCCTGCAGGTCATCATCATCCTGCTGCAGTAATTGGATCCAGATGACATGCCTACATTCGTAGCCCTTCTCCTCGCATATAGGCACAAGCTTCCTCCTATCACGTTCGACCAAGTCGATTTCACCAGGTTGATGAAGGACATAAAATTTCATAAATAGAATCCTATCGATGTTGCGAAGAAGTTGGAGGAATTAAATAACACCATTGATGTGTTGCGGGCCCAGTGAGGTTATTATGTAGCACTGTTTAGACAAGCTAAGGCATCCGTCGGTAGTATTGAGTCGGCCTAAGAATTCATGTCCGACTGCCGTCAACGCGTGCAATGCCCCGTGACCCGCCGCCGCTCGCCCGTGCCTCCATTTCACCGGAGACGTCTGATGCAATAACAACGCGCTTACGCAGCTGCAGCTGCAATATGTGCAGTGCTACTGTGGCGGCAACATCTACACGCCCCACATATAACCAACATGGAGGAAGATAATCACTCGCCGCCTCAAGAGATGGCACTACCGGCACTGCGCTCACAACCTACATCGCGCAAGTGAAATTTGTAGGTTTACATTCCATATATGCAATGCTCGATGAGGTGCTCGATGGCCCAAGTGGTTAGCGCGTTCGGCTGCGATCGTTGAAATAAAGCAACTTTCGCAGTGGTCGGTCATTGGATGGGTGACCAAAAATTACTAACTCAAGCTCCTCCGTGCTTCGGAAGGCACGTTAAGCCGTTGGTCCCGGCTGCATCTGCAGTCGTTAGCACCCACCAATCCGCACTGGGCCCGCGTGGTGGATCATGGCCCAATCTCCCTATTCCATCCATAGGGAAGGCCTGTGCCCTAGCAGTAGGGACATTAATAGGCTGATGGTGATGATATGCAATGCTCAACCAGAATCAGTCGGGCCGCGGCCTCCGAGCTACCATCACCCAGCTTGGAGGAAGATCTTCCCCTTTGGCTTTCCCATACCACCTTTATCGGAACATATAACCTGCTGCATCCAGCGATACCTGTAATGTAGCTGTAGCTGTCGTTTGTATATATATATATATGTTAGACTATAAGGTACTTACTTATATATTTTTTGGCCTAACATAAATTTTCCCCGAAATCTCAACAATCCAGTAAACAACACACCCGCCAAGTCAGTGTCATCATCATCATCATCATCAGCCTATTAATGTCCCCACTGTTGGGGCACAGGCCTTCCCTATGGATGGAATAGGGAGATTGGGCCATGACCCACCACGCGGGCCCAGTGCGGATTGGTGGGTGCTAACGACTGCATATGCAGCCGGGACCAACAACTTAACGTACCTTCCGAAGCACGGAGGAACTCGAGATAGAAATTTTTGGCCACCCATCCAATGACCGACCACCGCGAAAGTTGCTTAACTACAACGATCGCAGCCGAACGCGCTAACCACTTGTGCCATCGAACTCCTCTCAAGTCAGTGTGGAAGGGCAGAATTAAAATGTCCATGTTGGTATTTGGTAATCTCAGATAGGTACTTATAAAACCTTTTGGTATCCATCATTAATTCGAAATTTTCCCAAGCTCGGCAATATAGGCCGAAAATTCATAGGGCCCATTGAATCTTCAAGTTTCACTCGTAGAGCGAGTACAGGGTATAATAAAAGCGTATCGTCCACCAAAAGGAATATGATAGAACCCGAAAACCAATAACACTAGTGATCCGTGCAGATTTTGTGAGGCCACAGATTATAGAAGTTTAGAAGGGGCAACCAAAATTCATTTTCAGCTTCTATACCTAATTTGCATCGAATATTGTGTATTTAAAAATATTTTACTTTCAAAATTATAATAATTTACTTTAATTTCTATCAAAGTTACTAGTCGTTTCAGTACTGTTCTACTCGTAGAATCAAAAGTCTTCATGACCGTGTCAGTGCGTTATCGTTTCAATTTCATTTAAGTAGGTATTGCGAGTTTTGATAAGAATGTCTTTTTTTTATTTACAATTTCACAATTTATGATAATAATAATAACTTTAAACAATGTATACAAAGTTCAAATTCATGTTGTTGCATGTGGTAATGGAGCTGGTCTAAAAACCGTTGCAGTGAAATGCTAATCGTGACATCCATCTTTGAGAATTAATTGAGAGAATGATACTTATTTAAATACCAACAATACTGGTGTCTCGTTATACCGCACATCTAATGATTTACCGAAATCTCAGAATGTAAAATTACTTATTGGTGGGAATGTGTAGTAGGTAAAAAAGTGGCGTTATTGGTATCATTGTGGTCATTAGACCATCTGTACTAGGTCTCCTTGATCTATGCCGTTACGTGAACCAATAAGAGAGTTATTGCAGTAGTGCTCATTCCACCCTCAGTGCACATAGGGCCCGATATACTATTGATTCTGAAGTAACATAGCTCCATAATAAAGACTAGATTCAAATATAAAGGAAAAACCTCAGACGTAAATAACTTGCCTTAATATTATTATATAATGAAACAAACCAAGCTCAAACAGAAATTATTTTATTACAGTACAAGTATCGGAATTCACTTTGAAAATCTCCAAGAAATAAACATTCAAATTAAATCGATTTCGTGTTAAAAAGTTTTAAAGTTCTAAATAACTTTGTCATGTCGAGTCACACCGCCGGCCTATATCAGCATTTTAATTTCATTGACATGCATTTTCTGCTCATGGGTCTTCTTCACTGTCTGTACTGTATTAGTAGCAAAATTTCATCAAAATTTCATATCATCATCATCTTCAGCCTATTAATGTCCCCACGCTGGGGTACACGCCTTCCCTATGGATGGAATAGGGAGATTGGGCCATAACCCACCATGCGGGCCCAATGCGGATTGGCGGATGCTAACGACTGGTCTCAGATGCAGCCGGGACCAACGGATTGACGTGTCTACCGAAGCACGGAGGAACTCGAGATAGAAGATTTTTGGTCACCCATCCAATGACCGACCACTGCGAAAGTTGCTTAACTTCAACAATCGCAGCTGAACGCGCTAACCATCTGCGCCATTGATTGCCAAAAATTTCATATATTACATGAATTTCTGTTTTACTTTAGCAAATTGCCTGATACGACAAATAATATCTTAAACGGAGCTGGACCATCAAATATAACATTAAAAATCTTTTGTTTCTTAAAAGGGGCTTCATCTTGATCTCAAAATGAGACTGTTTGGAGCTTATTATTTAAAAAAATGGTGAATTAGTCATAACGAGAGTTACATTGAATAACTTAGCCGCGTAGGGAGCCGAGCCACCACCGGTTAATATTTCTGTGTTAGCTAACGACCGAGCCACAGAAAAACACTTTTCTAACTTTTCTTACTTTGTAAGCGAATAATGGGCCCTTTTTAATATAACTCTATGAGCTAAGTTATTATTTATTATCATTGTTTTTATTTTAACTGATGTTTACTTTATCAATTTATTTCTGTTACCTATATCTTTGACATAATCAAATAATAATAAACACTTTGAATATTAAGTTATGTAAATTATTATATTTTGAATCTATTAAGTGCTAGATGTTTAAATCTTAAGAAAATAGTACTAGAAAAAAATCCACTTGGTTATGTTTCGCCCGGATAACGGAAGATGTGAGATTGAATCCCTTCTGAAACCCTTATTTTATAGTATTATACGCAGACAAAAAATACTATTTACAGACGACGGCACACCGCCGAACGGACCTCACACCTGGCTCCCGCAAGCCTTACTAGCCCCAGCAGTGGCTGCCCACTGAGGACCCCGTAACCCTTACGGGCACTTTACGGCATAATATCCGCTAAAAAACCCTGCGAATACCCTCTAAGCTGCTTAGCGCGAAGCCGCGGGATCCCCGTTTAGGGGTTCTTCCGCGTCTAGCAGCCTCCCGGCCTTGCCAGGGCTCCGCGGCAGGGGAAACCTTCTGAAACCTGGAACTACTGGACTTTTTTCTACTAATATTTTCTTAAGATACAAATTAATAAAGTTGTGGCTTACCTACAATGCGAAGAGATGGCACTGCCTTGCAGCTTAAGAAAGGCTAGAAAGAAGTCGACACGGCCAACAGGGCCGCGGTAGCATAATTGGTTAGTGCATTCGCCCGGGCAGCGAAGGGTGCAGGTTCGAGTCCCGTTTGCTGCCTAGTCCGCGTGGTACTTTCTCTAGTCATATTTTCTTTAGATTTAATAAATATTTTCAATTTTCGCCAATAAGCCTAGCCCAGAAGTAAACACTGTAAGGCTTGTGTTATGGGATACTAGTGTAACGGATAAAATACATATACTGGAACATACCTAATTATGTTTTATCTAGAAATATATATAAACAGAGGAGCTCGATGGTGCGGGTGGTTAGCGCGTTTGGCTACGACCGTTGAAGATCAGCAACTTTCGCAGTGGTCGGTCATTGGATGGGTGACCAAAAGTCTTCTATGTCAAGTTCCTCCGCGCTTCAGAAGGCACGTTAAGCCGTTGGTCCCGGCTGCATCTGCAGTCGTTA